GCAGACGCGAAATATGTATGGTTTTTTTTTTTTAAATTTTTTTCAGGTACTCTTGCCCAAACCCAACCTGTGTCCTGCCGAAATTTACGAGCTCATGTGCCAATGCTGGAAGCGCGATCAAAACTTGAGGCCTACTTTCAAACAACTCTACCATTTCCTGAAACGCAATCACACCACGTACTCGTGCGAGATCGACAAACAACTGCACAACGTTTCGCCAATATAAATATTTTGCGCGTTATTTAACTTAATTTTTGTTTGTTTTCCCCACCCTCCCTAAGCTCCCCCTCCCCCACCACCGATCGATATTTTGTATATGTATAATATGAAAATTAATATATAATACGGTGTACACGAAAAAATGTATATTTTCTTGTTAAATGTCGTCGTCGTGCCTATAATATTATAATACGAACCTTTTTCTTTACCCGCTCTGTTCGAAAAATCACTGTCTACGTACAATGTATTATATAGGTGTGTGTATGTATACAGAGTGATCCATTGAGCACGCTCACCCCATCTTTACGGTTCAATTTTGTATACGTTACGATTCTCGGAATTTCAGTTTGCCGAGTGTAATTGACGCTGACATTTTCGAATCTAAAATTCAAAAATGTCTTCAAACGATATGGAGTATCAGTTTAAATACATTTTGATGTTGCCGATTTTAATATTCGTCGGCGAGATATTCCGCTCTTAAGTTCGGTTAGTGGAAGACTGAGCGAGGCGCTGTGAAAACGCCGCTCGCCGCGCTGCCACACAAATTATACTTTGTAAACTGTTAGCGTTAGTATTTTCAAGTAGGACACGATTCGGAAACTTCTCGTTCAAATTTCGATCGCAATACGTCGGAGTTTTCAGAAAAGCCGTCCGATTTACAAATTCGCACTGGAATATGTGGTGGGCTCTTGTTTGAAAAAACCAAAGCAGGTATCACCGCAGGATACCACTTAAACGTTGTAGAAAATCTAAATGATCGAAAACACATCGGCTTTGGCTACGTTTGGAAATCGCAAAAATCGGTGTCCGAACGTATGCGAAACTCAACGATAAAAATGAGACGAGCGTGCTAAATGAATCACCGTGTACATAAACAAAAACGGAAGAAAAATCTCTCGATTTGTAGCAGCCAACCAACGCGTAATAAATAAATGATAATAATATTAGGTTAACCGAAAAGTGAGAACAGGGTTTTGCTTCGTCTATGTCGACTTTGTGATATGATTATTTTGAAAGTTCACATTTTTTTTTTTTTACATAATTTTTTTTTTTTTTTTATTTTATTTTATTTCTAACTCCACAGCCCGGACCGCAGCTGCCGCCGGGCAAAATGCTTTGTGACAATTATTTATTTATTTCCGTAAACTATTTCATATCGTGTATTTTTCTAAAATTCGTGTAAGTATATAATAACATTATACTTTTATAAGAATAATATAATTTAACTTATTATTACAATTGTTGTAATAATAAAATAATGATATGTATTCGAAGATGTTATTAGCTAGACAATCAATGTGTAGGGTATGTATTGGAATGGGTTGTAATTTCGATGTAATCTTATATTGTAACATATTATTATTATAATTATTATTATTATTATTATTATTACTATTATTATATCGACATAAAAAAAAAAATAATAATAATAATCATTTTATTATATTACGCGGGCTCCCGGTAAAAAAAAAGTTTTTTTTTTTTTTTTTAAATCGAGAGCCCGCGGTCATAGACCTAATAACTTCGGTAGGGTCATACTATTGTTTAGACATAAGTACGGATAATAATTACACTGTAACGAGATAATATTATTATTATATTAGTATATTATTACATATATTTTAATTAATATTAATGTATACATAGTATAAACGTCTAGACTTAAGATCGGCTTGTAACGTGCAATAATGAAATTTATTATCGTTTAGTTAATATCAATAATTATTATAATGTACAACAATGTTTTTTTAATACTCGTTAGTTAATATATGTGATCAAAAAGATCCGTAAACACCGTTACCACTGTGTTTTCATTTTCGATTAACATGCCTACTCTTTTGTATTCGGTGCGGAGTATTCGTAACTATAATTACAGTGTGTACAGTGAAATCAGGCATTTCACTTAATGCCTAGGCCCGGACTGAATAGTCAAAGAACTTGATTTTTTAACGGGTTTACTATCCGCCTATCCATTTAGAAATGCCTGGACGTTTGACTGAATGCCTGTTACAAGTAAGGCGAATAATAAAATGCCTGATTTGACTATATGCCTACGACATAATATTATATAAGCGATTTTACTGCGCGCGGTGCGTGCGACTTTTTTTCTTTTGTTTTAATTGATTTTGTTTTGATTTTGATCTGTGAAAACGTTTTTACCAGATATCTCGGTTGGATCAAAAAAATTTTAAAAAAACTTTTTGTTATATATTGTCACTCACTTAGCGATATGGTCGCTTTTTAATTTTCCGAGTAGTTTTCATAATAATTGAGAAATTTACGGCAATAACGGCTTCGTAATTCACGATTCTGTTTTTTTCGTTGTAATTTGGTTAAACCCTGTGTTTCGCAATGAATATTAATAGTCGACCGTTTCTTGGAGTGATAAAATGATCAAATAACTTTGGAAATTTTCGAGCTATTTTTATGTATTTGACATTTTAGCTTTTATTTGGTTTTATGTGAATAAAATTGTTTTTGCCGAACAGATTCATCGTAAGTTGTATTTAAAATTTAAAAAATTGTATTATACCATACATATAATAATATGCTATTTTTTAACGAGTCATCATTGTCGGCTACGATGGCTTTTGAGTATCGGTTACATTTGGTCATGTCCACGGCGGCGTTCGAACTTTTCAATCGTAAAATATCCGGGATCGGGTCACATGTATACGAAAAACTCGGATTGTTTAGGGAATACGGACTGCGATACGTATGTGACGTTAAGTTCGCGAAAGACATGTATGTGATTTTTTTTTTTTTCTATTCATTCCCGAAAATCCCACAAGGAGCACACGCGCACCTATACATAAGTGAAAACCGAACAACAGACGATTATAATAATATATTATATGAAAAAAAAAAAAAAAAAAACGTCCCCACGACTCGCGTTTACCTATATTATTCTCGCATGTATAATAAATCATGCGCGCGTTCGGCGGTATTACTTCAGGTAACCACCGCACCGTTTATAATACAATACATAAATAGGTTAGACGCGATTTTATTTTTATTTTTTATTTTTTTCTGTTGGAGACACACTCTGAATAAATGTTATATGTATATAAATACCCGGCGGGGTAATAATGGGTCAGAAAAGAAAAAAACCACCCTCCGAAAGAAAAACTACGAAAAGCATCGCCTTTATCGATCCGAATTGCCACGAAGTTTGCGGCTCGCGTATTGCGACTCTCCCGCCGCGCGCGTGATCAATCACAACAAATTATCAACAAAATCCAAAGGAGAGGTCGTGTATTATAATACTCGTGTGTGTGTGTGTGTGTGTGTGTACGTATTAGTGTACATTATATGGAAAGAAATCGGGAAATATTCAACACCGCGGTCCTCGACATAATATTATAATAAATAATAATTTATGTATGCGATATTGTATCGCCGTCAGAGGTCATTCCGGTGAAGGATATGAGACGATCCGGTGTTGAGACGCAGATAGTGAAAATCAATCTTAATAAAAGATAATAATCCGTTTAGATTCGAAGCAGATACATTTTTCGACAACAACGATTACATTCTAAAGTAATCGCATTATACTTGTTTGAAATACATAAATTGTCGGACTAACGTGGAATGTACCGTGGGTACCTGCTTATAAGTATGTGTCGTGAAGCTCCATTTACTTGGGTACATAAAACATTCGTTTTTTTTTTTTATGCATAAATATTCTGCTAGAGGTTTTGCGGGCCTTTTGTGCGCGGCATTATGGTAATTTGAATTCCAATAACGGCAATAACACGGTGCGTGTAAGGATCGTTAACCATTTGTTACCTACAAGTGATTTTTCGATCGAAAGACAGCGCGTGTGGATAACAACATCGTGAGTGTGGGTCATTGGCCCGACTAGACGTCATCCGCAGCGGCAGCCTGGGCAATGTCCGGCGCCACTTAATGAACCGAAAATATACCCTTAAAATAGCGGGGGAGGTTAACCTAATTGAATATTTATACAATTTTAAAAAAGTCTCTGTTATCTATTTACAATCAACAACATACAGTATTTTCAGTGCCTTCGGACTTGACCACAGAAATATTGTTCACGCACAGGCCGGAATTGCACGGCGATATAATTAATTAAGTAATTAACAAAATATACGACGTGTAAGTATATAGAATAACAGAATTTTAAACAAATAGCGCATACCCACTCAATGTGTTTAACAATAATAAAAACACCGAACAACGCATAATATTTATATTTTATTTTACTATAAGACGCATTCATCAAAGGACAAGTGTTATTTTTGTAGGAACATTTTTAAAACCATCGATCACACTTTCAACGCTGATGTTACTCACAAACTCTTGTTCTATAAATAAAAATGTTAACGCATTGAGCCTTTCTTGTGCCATGGTGCTTTTTAATTAAGTTTTACTATAGACATTTTTGAAAAACCTTCATATTTAATATGGGTAAACAAGATGGGTTGCGATTCAACTCTAAATTAATTACCTAGTTGTTAAATCACAATTCTTAAATATTTACACGTTTGTTCTGCATTAATAAATATAAACTGAATTTCTTAATGAGTATAATGAAGATCATTAGGCATGTATGTAAGTGAAACAGCAGTAAAAAATTCTAAGTTCGATGCTTGTGAAGAAAAGTAAATTCCTTTTAATGTCAATTGTAAAATTGGTGGCATTAAATTTAAACACTGAAACGAGATTATACGGTTATCGTGATTACAACTCATCACGGTTATCAACATACCACGGTAACAAAATTGAATTACGATACCAACGGGCAACTGATAATAGTACAATGAACGATTGTAAGGAACATAAAATTTTTAACACGTTATGTGAAAATATTATTAAAAATTATTGCTGTTGTGTCTGTTTCAATTTTCGTTTTATTTTCACACTGTCAGTTTATAACACTGTATCTTGTCATTAAATGTTATTATGGCCTCCGCTGCAGACGAAGAAGCCATATCCAAAAGGGTTACAAGCGTACTAGAAACGCACTTAGAAAGAGACAAGGTAGGTACCCAAATTCTGTATAATGTTAAATGAATTATAGTAAGTATTCTTGCATATTTGAGCAATAAAGAAAATACTTCTACGCGATTACAAAATCATAGTCATAATCTCTAAATACCTTATTAACGATTCATTTTCCTTTTTATAATATTGTAGGATGCTCTCGAAGCATTGAAGGAGATATCCGAGTTCTACACCGAAAATACTTTAGAATGTAGAAGAGGCTTAAGGACCAAAATCGAAAATAGAAGTCTTGCTTTAAATGAAGTATGTTCATTAAACAATTATATACAAATAGATTAGTAATATTTTATAGGCAGTATATAAGTAATATATAATAAACATTAAACATAATATATCAGAAGGTCAGTTCGAAGCTAAGGACAATTATTTCGTATTAATTTTTAAACCTACCCCACTTGTTGTATTTAGAATTTTTTGACGTCTTTTGAAAAAGTGAAAGATGCTATTAATGCTTTACACGAAAATGTGAATTCTTTAAACACAACTGTTGTATCCATGTCGTCTCAATTGAAAGACACTAAAGCTGAGACTCAGAATTTAATTGAACTCACAAAACGACTGCAGCATGAAATGTAGGTGCATACTTATAGTATAATAATACTTTTTATTTATACTTGGTATTTATCTAATTAGGAAAAATGTATCCAACCAACAATTATTAGCAGACGCTTACACAAAAGCATTCCAGCTGAGTCCTTCAGAAGTGGCTTGTTTGCAGTCTAATAATGTGACTCCTGAATTTTTTACAGCACTCCGTAAAACACAAAACATTAGTAACAATTGTAGAGTACTTATGCAAGCCGGTCATCAAACATCAGCTCTTAGTTTAATGGAACAAATTTCTACCTACCAGGTAAAAACAGCCATACACTCAAAACAAGAAATTATGTTTTTATTTTAAAAATTAAACTTCCAGCAAATGGCAATGGAAGTACTCTATAGGTGGAGCCAATTGCATTGTAAAGACATTGAGTCCCAAACTATTGGACCTCTACTAATTTTTGCCATGGAAGTGTTGCAAGACCGCCCAGTATTATTTAAGTAAGTTTCTTTTCCTCGAAATTCAAAGAGACCGGACTTTCTAATAATGTTTAAATAAATGATATATTATAGAAGTTAAAACTTGATTTTCAGATATGTGTTAGATGAATATTGTACAATAAGACAAGCCATGATTGCACAAAAGTTCATCGATTCTCTTGCGGTAAACAGTACAAATAATACTTCTTTAAAGATATTTTCAAAAGACATACGACAGTACATAAACAATATGTTATCGTGGTTAATTGATAACGTTCCAGTTGAAAGAAAATATTTGATGTACCTATTGAAAAACTGTGATAAATTAAGTAAGGAAATAGTTGCGTGTATATTACAACAATAATTATAGTTAAATTAAATACGTCATACCAATTTTTACAGACATTAATGAGGAGATATCATTATGTATGAGTAACATTACTGAAGGATTGTGCAACCCATTAGCATCACGTGTAGAAAGCGTATTACAGACGAATGAAAATCCAATTGACCTTTACGGTATTGCTAGTTCATTAAAATTCTATCTCCAAATAGTAATTAAAGTAAGTTTACAAATACATAATGATCAAAAATTACTTATAAAACTCCATTATATTATATGGTGTTATTAAAATTTAATATTTGTTTATTACTCTTATTATTAAGATTTAAAACTATTTTTGGCACATAACGAAAAATATTATTGCTTCAATGAAATAAAACATTTACAGACAGTTCCCACTGGACAACTGTGCCGGACAATTCAGGAGTTACATAAGACAATGGAATGTGTGTTTTTAAACAAGTTACAAAATTTAGTAAGAGAGACACTATTGGAGCGTATTGAAGCTCCACCATCAGATTTGTCTCCGTCACCTGGTATAGGATTTTTGTTAAATATTCTTCGGCAAGTGTTATCAGTTGCTGCCGTCACAGAAGATAAACAGGAAGACACGTCTATGGTAATATATATAATAGGTAAAATCCTAGATATAATCCTTTTAAAATATTTAATTTCAAATTGTAGATAGTATCTTGCGTCCTAGAACCATTACTACAAGCTATCAATTTGAGCGCTTCACGATTAACTCCATTAGACATGGCTGTGTACCATCTCAACTGCTTAAACAACATACACGAAACACTGAGACAATTCCAGTATGTTGAGGAAAAGCTTGAAAAACTGCAAGTATGGCAACCTAAATCTAGACTTCAAAAGTTTTTACTAAACAACATACTATAATTATTTTTCTAGGCTCAGATGGCTATACAAATAGAAATTGTTTCTGCTGAACAAGCAAACTATCTCGTTACACACTTAAACCTTGAGGATATCCAAACAATTTTGCAAGGTCAAGATGCAAATATTCCACTATCCCAGATCCAAGGCATAGAAGCGGAGAATTTAATCAATTTCTTGGTAATAATATATGGTAATAATTAGAGCGCGGATTTATATTCTCTTACAATAGCCAAAATATGATGATTATATGCAAAACAAATTTAATACATATTAATTAACAAAATCAATAACATTATTAAAATAATAATAAACTAAGTTTTTAGATTGTTATTTCGGCATTTCATTAAATTAAAACTTGTAAATCAACGCACAATAATAATCATAAAATATGAAAAATTAATTCAGTCATAAAAATTTGTATACAGATTCTTTGTACTGTGACATATATTACTCTCGTGGTTGTGCATACATCCATTAATAACATGTTTTTACATAGAAATCCACGCTCTAATAACAATATAATAATGATTACACTAATTAAATTTATTTGATTTTTCTTCTGGTTTTTATTATTAGTCAATCGCCATTTTTACATAATTTCAAAGCATAATGTTTTATAATATATTCCACAATTACCTATATAATAATGTATTGTATATTTGCAGAGTAAATTAGAGAATATGTTAACCATGCCAAACACCATAGCAGTTCCTCAAATTGGCTATCTGAAAAACCCTTTACACTTAAGCAAGGTTAGACGACAATCTAACGAAGTAATTTCTGCTGTTTATAAACAACTTTATGAACACGTACACAATCCCAAGAACGAATACGATAATCCAGGCGGATTGATGCCAAGAACACCAAATCTTGTGTACCAGATTTTAGTCAATGATGAAAAACCATCATAATTTATATAAAAAACAAACTAATTTATTTGAAATATATAAAGATTTAATATTTTATGCATTTAGTTAACTGCTGGTTATTTCTCCAACAATGTACCCCGAACGTGTCTTTTAATGTCTAATGCGATTTCCGGTTCAACAAATTCAGCCACTTTACGTTTGTTCATGCCTTTTCTTTCTAATTGTTTTTCAATGATGCGTGCATTGTTTGCATATGAATCTGCTACTTCTCTCTGTAATCATTAAATGAACATTTATAGTTTAATATTACAACACATGTTGCTATACAATCAATAGCAAAAAATAATTTACTGCTTCTATTTCGTCTTCTTCTTCATCAATAGTAGACACTGTAACTGAACTGAATTTCCCCATGTTCTTGGTATGTTTAGTAACCATAATTTTTTTCGGTTTTTCTACAGCTACTTGATTATATATGTCCATTTTGGGACCTTCGCCAGTATATTTAACTAGTGCACCCTGAACAATAAAGTATACATTTGCATTGGGCTGGTGTTTATAATACAAAAACAAACCACATCTGTAAAAAAAAAAAAAAAGGATAGTATAAAAATTGTAAATATAAAACTTTTGGTTTGAACAATAGTGGATCCAGGTGTGGGGTTGATTGGTGCATTTACTATTGTATTCTTAGTTTGATTTATAAGGTTCATCATAAATGTGTCCCTTGTATGAATTTTTAAAATCACACCCTCCCTTCCAGTTATCTCGTCCTGAATCCACTCCTGAGTTTCAAATCAACAAACTTTTTGCATTTTAATCTGTGTTGTTTTTCAATGCCTTCTTGTCGCTTTAAATAGACAATTTCATCTTGATCAAAAGTAATTTTATTAGCATGTTTAGAACCATCTATCACTCTGGCACCATCTCGTTTACGTAAAGGTAGTTTTTCCACAGCACAATCTAAAATAATTGATAAAAAATAATATATTGAGCTTATATATGTAACACGGTAGTAAAATCAGTTAAACGTATAATTATAATTATTAATTAAATATTTAGGAAGCAGTGGGGAAATATTGTGAAAACAGATCCCCCACAACTTTCAGTTCAAACGTGAAAAAAAATAATTTAATATTTAATTCTAATAGTTTGAAATGATCAATTGCTTACCCAAAATCAACGTCATTTGACCACACAAACAGTAATACGAATGCAATGGCTTCTCTTCGTTGTATTCTTCTTGATCTCTAGTGTCTGAACACACTATACTTCGAGAAACTACTTTAGGCATTTTAAATTGGTTTATTACTAATTAACTTCAACTTAAACTGGTAACATGTAATTGTTTACTATTTTAATTATTAATTGCGCCAAGGTTTAAACGAGGAAAAAGTTTATTTTGTAGATTTAATATAAGACAAAAAACTAAACTATTTTATACTCCCGTTTTCAAAAAGTTTTATACACTATGAATATAGCAACGATTATATAAAATATTGGCATGAGATGAAAAATTACTTTTGTGTATCAGTCATAAAACATAATGTAAAGACAATATTTTTGTTTACAATCAGAATATCAGCATCTAAGATAAGCAGAGTAATATGAGTACCAGACCTAAATGATAAGTGACCAACCACAATATTTCAACGTTACCAACCTATACAAAAAAAAATTTCAAACACCAACCATACCACCCTAAAATAATAATATCATAATTTCTTACTTTTATAATAATCATTATATTTTATTTTCCAATGTGATAAAAATTTATTCAGTTTTAGAATATTCGGATAATCGGATAGAACTTAGTACTTAGCAGTTAACATAAAAATGTCTCTATGTTTCCAAAACTCTGGAAATTTTAGGCATTAAAGGTAGAAGTATGATTTGTTCATGTTAAACTGCAACTAAAAATACAAGCACTAGTGCAGCACCTATTTTTCTCAACTTTCAGAAGTAAAGAAAAAATAATTTTAATATTTTAAATGTACAAACCGATTTGAAAAATAATATCTTATATCAATACATTTTATATAATAAATAATAAACAAATAATTTATATTTCTTAATATATCTGTCTAATAATAAACCATTTTAAATAATCTCTCCTAATAAAATAAATTATTTCTTTGTATAACGAACAATTTGTGTAATTTCTTTTTTATGTATTCCTTCATTCAATTTTTATATTCAATCACATTTTACATTTTTACCGTGATATACCTGATGATGAATTTTTAATTTGAAACCAGTCGTATAATACACTTATCATAATACTCCACCCATTCATTCATTTTTTTTTTATATATATATATATTTATTTACTATATTCATAAATAAAGTCTAAGATTTTTGAACACCGGGAGACTTCAAAAATTTCGTAACGAAGTCGAGATCTTTCTGTTTATTATCAATTAACCATTGAACAGCTGCCTGGCGACTGATATCTTTAGTCATTTTATATGCCCAAGCTATAATAAATAAAATTAAAAATAAGTATATTATTATTCATTAATAATTTGAACAGTTCTAGAAAAAGTATAAAACTACTAACGAGATATTTTTTGAAAATTATTTAAAAATTGTGTTCCTTTATTAAGGGCATTGTCTACATCTGGAACACTTTCATCAACTAAACCAATTTGCAGGGCTTGATCTGTAGTATACATCTTTCCTGAAGTCAATGATACTTCAGCTTTTCTTTGACCAATAACTGCAACCATGCAATCTTGAAACCTAGTAAATAACGTGATATTTAATTGTTTTTTTTTTTTTTTTTTTTTTAATAAAATATAAACAAGTTTTTTTATACAAACAATTATTATATTAAAATTCAAAAATTACTATTTTGGAGCAATGAGTCCCAATTTAGTCTCATTTAATCCAACAGTATAATTTGGTCTGACCATAACTCTGTAATCGCAACTCATGGCAAACAGCCTGCTGCTGGACTATGGCCCTATATGTTTTTTTCAATGTAATTATCAAAAACCAAATAGTTCAATAATCCAACTATAATGGACTAAGAAAATGCATTATTCTTGTAATAATAACTACCATTGTATAACTATGTTATTTATACAATGTCAACTGTACATAGGAATATGTATTAATAATGATTCTAAATAATTGCTTTATTTTTTGTATGACTAATAATACTTCAGTTTTGAACTCCACTGGTCAACTCCTAATTAATATCCTTATTTCCTTGTGTTGTTATGAAAGATTATATTACGTAATAGGTATATTGGAAGTTATGGTAAACAAAAAGTAGTATAAAACTTATTTATAGAACATTAATATTTTCGCTCTCTATGTTGTAGTTCTTTAAACAGAAATAATGTATTTGAGGTAGTCTTAATAATTTGATCAATTTGATACAATCATATCAATACTTAATTGATAAGATTATGAAATGATTACATTAATAACAGCTACAGTTGGGAATGAAGTCAAATAAAGTGCAAGCCATGTATCTTGAAGAGTAGTCCAAAATTTAGATAATCTTTCAGGATTTGGATTATATAACTCTGTTACATCTAAACCATAACAAAATATTTTCTGCAAGTCCTAAAATAAAATATTTTATTTTTATGATTATTCAATATAATAATCAATAAATAACCGATAATATTATATAGTTGAGCAATCAACATATTTTACTAAATTGTATGTAAATACCGATGTTAATATCATTCCTCGAATGTTATCGTTTTGAAATTGTGCAAGCTGAGATTTAATTTCATCTAAACTTCCTATCAACATATTTTACTAAATTGTATGTAAATACCGATGTTAATATCATTCCTCGAATGTTATCTTTTGAAATTGTGCAAGCTGAGATTTAATTTCATCTAAACTTCCAGATTTAAACTATTTACAGGTGGTCTATTCATTAACAATGCGGCTATGCCTGAACAAATTAAATTAATTAGGTATCATTTTATATTCTGTTAAAACTAAATAATATAATATGATAAAAATAAATTGTATATTATACCTGTTTTGTCATCAATTTTTGACTGTAACATAGATTGAGAAGCATAACGGCAATTGATAAATGCATAAGATTTGTATAAAATATACCTTCTTAACATTTTAAATCAAATTGAAGTTTGATATAAAAGGTCAAATAAAAATAACAACTTAGACCTATATTAATAGCTTTGGAAAGTTAAACTAAATATATCCATGAGTTAAATGTCTGAAATAGTCAGGTAACAGTATTAGGTAAGTGTAAGCATAAGTTTTGGGTAGGTGTAATGACGAATTTGCCAAAAACTGGGAACGGCAAGTATTATACTATTATAGCTACAATTACAATTATTAAACGTTATCAACCGCCAAAAAAAAATACGAATATACATACGTACTATGTAATGAGCTGTGTTATCAAAACACTCTACACTCCTATTGGCGATTGAAAGTGAAAGAGTCGCAACCTGGTGGAATTTATTAAGACTGCTCTGCCGGGAAAGATGTATGTTTGATTACATTATAATATTGAGTACCGACTTCCGAGTTTCTTCGTGATAATCTCGTTTCGTCGTAATAACTATAAATATAGCTTTATTTGTTGATATTATGGATGACCATAATTATTATTCTAGCTAAATGGACAATAAAAACGCTTAAACATGTGCGCAACTATGGGTGGCTAGAGGGCTTAGCACCCCAAATTTACAAATAGTCCTAAAATATAAATGAATGTATCATTTTAGATTCTGAATGGAGCAAAGAAGCTCATGGTTACAAAAATGTTTATTATTATTATTATTTTTTTTTTTTATACGCAACTTTTCTGCGGGGAACGTCAAGATCTTTGCTGACCGGCTTATTAGGGACGTTACGATGTTGTTTGCCGACTTGATCAGATTTAAGTTTCTTGCAGCCAGTTTTAAAACGATTAAACTTTTTTCAACAAACACGTTTCTTGTCAAATTCTGAGCAATTTTTTACTGTGTGTTTGCGTTCACATTTGTAGCAATCGTATTCTTCACTTGTTTCAGATGTTCTCGAATTTTCAGTTTGTAATTTCTCGGAATAATTCGGTGTGTTTTTCAACGTAACATTTTTCTTAACATAATCAACTTGCACATTTTCGTTCACCTCATCAACGCGTGATTTTTAGCGAGCGACATCATTTTTATGGTATCGATAGATTTTTGTAAGTTTAAGTCTGCTTCACAAAGTAGTGGCTCTTAAATTTGTTCATTATTAATGTCAATTATTAGTTTATCACGTACCATATTCTCACGTTCACTGAACTCGCAAGTGGATGCTAATGTTTTCAGTTCCGTTATGTAGTCATCTATACTCTGATTCGGCGATTGAACACACGTATAGAATTTAAATCGCTCATAAATAATATTCCTTCTTAGGTTCAAAATATAATTATCGAATTGAGTGAGGACATTGTCATAATTTTTTTTTAACTCGGCGGTGGAACGTGAACGCATTAAATATTCCAATAAATTTAATACCAACAGTGTTCAGTAAAATGGCGATTTTCGTATTCATCCGATTCTTCATTGTGTCCCGAAGCAATCAAATGCATGTCGAACTGCTGCCGAAACTTCCGCCAATTCGTGGCCAAGTTCCCCGCGAAATCGAAATTTCAATTCCATCATGAAATTCGGCTGTTTAATTAGTTTGAAAAAACATTTCAACCCGACATCATATTGCGTATCTGCTGTGCATGAACTCATTAGGTGTAAATGAGGAGATTGATCCTAATAAAACGGTACATAGCCGACGTATTATTGAAGCATGAATAAAAGTGCGGGGACAACGCGAAACGACTGAACGCAGGCGAGCGAGTGGACAATACCACGCACCGCAGATAATACCAATTAATAATAATAATAAAGACCGCCCGGCGTGCACCTTATCAAGTATCGCATTTAGATATAAATTACACGATACACTACAAACAATGGGTTAGGTCGTCGCTTACAGATATGCATTAAATTCCCGTCTGTATCCGGCCTTCCCAATTTCCCACCTACACCGGCGGCTGCACACTCGTCCTCCGCATCACAGGACAGCTTTTTCTTATATTTTTTTCGTGCAGTAACCAGAGTTGAATGTTTATAATACCTACCAAAAAGTCGAACCGGTATACGTTCAGACTATTTCAAAGACACACGGAACAGAAGTGACGATGAAAAAAATTAAGAAATAACTAGAAGATCCATCGCCTTACACAAACGCTACCGAACACAAAAATATTGAGATATTATTGGAATCTGGTCGTAGGTGTTTACCAGAAAAGCGGGTATCGTACGTTCGCCGCGCGTTAGGTATTTGCAGGCTGTTGTTTTAATACATGTTTATGACATTTTAAGTTTTCAAAAATATATAGACAAAACACATTGTTGCATACTATATGTTTATTTACTCTGAACTAATCAAAAACAAAATAATACAACAGTATGTAATAATAAACTACAATAATTTTATTTTATACATATAATAATTTCTTCGGCAATGTTTTATTTGAAAATTGGCGTAGGTAAAATTGTTTGTTAAAATTATATTTGATCAAAACACAGGATTGCATCTGTAAACATATAATTGGTATAATAATGTTTTTATATTATAGTAGGTGTATAATATAAAAAAAGAACTGATAAATGTGCCACTGTTTTAATTGTAAAGTTGGTAAGGTAGGATCAAAATCATTGCTGGCAAATTATGATTTTAAACAAAGTTCGGTTGAATATGTTTTGAAATGTTGTGATTTTTATAATTTTCGTCAAATTTCAACATAAAATGTTTAAAATAAATAACTTTATTATTAAGCTACAGTTATTTTTCTACTATGTACAAATTATGAAGAACCTCACGTAAAATGTTCAAGCATTTCTCATCATACAAATTGGCCATATAAAATCAAATGAAAGTTAAAAAAGCTCAAAAATATCAAATATTTATAAATAGCTTGAAAATCAACAGAATTTTCTGAACATTTTTACCACTTTTTGAAAAGACTTTTTAAGTATAAATATTCTGTAAAAATCTCTGGTTTCTACAATTAGTTAATAAACGAATTACAACAAAAAAAAAAAAAAAAAACCAAAAATAATGAAACCATTTATTACCGTAAACGTTCATGTTTTTGTTACATTTTTTCTGATATTTATAAAACTACAGGAAAAATAAAAACGAAATCTTTATGTACCAACTAATGAAACTTTATTTTATTACACCTATTTATAATTTAATAACATAAAGAACTAAAAAATTAGGTAAGTAACAGAATATATGATGCAAATACACAGTAGAAATAGATACATAACGAATACATTTTACTATAGAAAAACAGTGTTTCTCATCATCTCAAATAAAATTAATAGTGCATAAAAAATAATCTAAAAACCTTTCACTAAGGGCGTAAAAAAAAAAATTATACAATATATTGTACCTACAGTATAGATTATAAGTCCTTTGAATTAAACATACCCATGTAATTATTGATTTTAGACTGTTGATACAAATTAATTTGAAGGTTCAGACGACGATGGCACAATAGAACATCTGGTATATGGCATAATTCCATCGTGTACAACGGTTGTGCAACTTTTTGTAACATGCGAATCTTTAATGGCTCTTTTTGCTATAATTTTGCTTAAAGCTTTCAAGTAAATTATTTTCTCGTCATCTTGTTCCGTAACAAATTTATGAGAATCAAACATGATTCCATTTGTCTGCAATAATAATACATTGTTAGTTGTTACAATTGGTAAAATGTGATGGTTTATAAAATACACTCATAAATATACTTTATTGAATAATTCTACTGACCTTTACTACTAAACCAGTCTCTAAAGATTTGTCATAAGTGTATTCATTACTATTTGTACCTTTCGGCTTTGTTAATGTATAGACTGTATCAGCTCCATTTGTTCCTGGAAATATTAACATCATACTTCAGAAAATCCTAATTAATACACTATTTTACTATACATCTCTACTATAGATATCTTATACCAATAAGGTACCCAAGTTAGATAACTAACTAACTAACTTATTAGACAACTAATATTTACCAAATATTTCTGGATTTGAAGAATCTTGTAGATTAATTGGGGCGACTAGATGGAATTTAATTCCTTGTTCCACAAAGCATGATGTAATTAAATCAAATGTATATTGAGATACCTGTGTTCAATAATATATTAGTAAAATCGTTTTACATCAGTTAGTCATAAAAAAAAAAACATGTACTTACATCAAGAGTACTGTCGGTAGTATATACGGTTTGTGTAACAGCCAAAACAGCTTTAACTGCATTAGGTCTAAATGGATATTCACCTGAAAGCTTGTACGCTTTATCTTTCGAGTTCTTACCTAAAAATAAAAAAATATTATTTATTATATTTGAATAATAATTCTCATGTACCAACTACTAAATTTTGTATCATACATTTTTAGTCTTATTAAATTTTATATTTAAATTTAAGTACCTAAGTAAGTATAATTTAATTTATATTTGTTGGATTAATTATAAACAAAATTTGAAACATTTTATTGGACTATAAGAAAATCATGTAAAAATGAAATGTGTTAAACTTTTTAAATTGGTAATAAAACAAAAATAAATAATTTAATACGGTCATAAATTTGTATAGATAAATGGCTTGATAATATTTGTAATGTAAGTAGATCAATATATCTTATAATTTATAATTATCTGAATATTTATTTTTTAAGTTAGTCACACCTATAAGTTTTTTATATGAATCAACAAATTGAGAAGAGAATCCTGTATCTTTTTCGGCGTTCATCTCTGACCATTGTGGCATGTTATCCAATATTCCTTCATAATTATTTCCCTTGTTAGCTGAGTAGATATGCACTCCAGAATGTTCAGATTGTTCAGAGTATCCAATGATAATAAAATTGATGTCACTGAAAAAAAAAGTATAAAAATAATAAATTATTTACAAATTATTATCTTATTCATTTACATTTACAATATGCCTACTGATATTTTTTCAAAATACAAACTAACTATCACTAGGTATTTGTTTAGATTTGATGATAATAATTTCAATTAGTTGTCTAGTTAGACAAATTTATACACGTTTAATTATTTAATCAACTTTGCAGAAACCGTGTGACGACAGGATGTGTATTATCAACGTTATACCAGATACTCGTTTAGACATGTACATTATATTATTATCTAGTCTAATTTCAACATATTTCGTGAATGTTCTGTTGACACCGAGTTCTCTTTAGTTCTACCCAGGGCTAAATATATTCATAATATAATATACCTATATTATCTATGGTAGATACTAGATATTAATAAAATGCCATCTGACTGATAAGAAAAAATCGTTTAAAGTTTTCCATTTTCGAATTTTCAATTGTTCGAAAAAACAAAAACTGATTTATATCAGTTACATTTTCTGTTTTAAAAATACTAAAAACATATCTAAGTGCTACATTGAGTGAAGAAAAATTTAATGGTTTGGTCCTATAAATAACGATGATTTAGAATATGAAAGTGTAGAAAAAGAAACATTGACTGGTTTTTTTTTAAAAATTTCTTAGAAGTATGAAAGTTATTAATTGGACTTTGATACAGTAATAATATAATATTATGACTTATAAGTACCTACCAGGTTCGGTTCAATAAGAATATTTACAATAGTTTATTGTTAATTTATTAATTATTTATAATAGTTGTATACAATAGATTATCAATAAAAAGTTGTTCAACGTTGTATTTATTTCAATAATTATTATATCTGTTCATATAATAAGCACCTATTTATTATAATATATAATAAATTATTTTTATTTTTTCATTGCCCCCGTGTTTAAATCTTGGCTACGACACTGGTTCTACTCGACTAAATTTAGGTTTAAATGTTATTTTAACTGTCAGCTAATAGCGATCCTTTGACAACTATACATTTCAAACTAATTTCAATACTAATATTTAGAAATCAGAATTCTTCTTTTAACACATTACACTAGGTATATCTGTATTCTAGCCGATAGTATTTTAACTGGCACGTAGGTCTTTTATCTGAACCGCATTTCAGCCGACAAATTCGCCTCCACTACAACACAGCGGGTAGCGTCGATAATAATTATGTTTTATAGTCGAATGAGGATCGTGACATACGTTCAAAAGTATAAATAAATAATAATATCGCGTGTGTCCACACGCGCAATCATTACCGACGATACCGGTTGGGTTGTAGCATTGGTTGTTGTGGTGAAAGGGGATTAGTCGACTGAAAATCTGAAGTATAGTTCGGATAAAATATGTTTAGAATTAAATATTTTCGGCTTTTTTACGCGCTCCCCATAGTTCAGAATAGGGTTACGTATACGTTGTTACTCAATAATAACTTATGCTAGGTATCTAGTATTTATTATATTTTATGTATATTATTATAGGTAACATATATTTACTTTATTCCTTTGTCGTTAAAATTTTTAATAATATTTTCCATGAAAGGCTTCAACACAATTAAAAAAACGTTTTGATTTTCTGTTGCTTCTTCGAATAAAATCATTATATCTGCTGCATCACTTTTTTCAGAAAATTCAACACTTGACGAAGAACCAATTGATCGATCATTCACCGTACTTGTTACTATAAAATAATTTTGACATTATTATTACAAATATTATTCTTATTGATATTATTGTTCATCATTCTTACGAAAATATTTCAATATTTAATTATGTATACTGTAAAGGACTCAGTACATACAAAACTAAGCCAATAGTAAGAGAGGGCGGAGGAGCCAATAGATGAAAAGGGTCAATTGTATTGTTATTAATGTAACAAAAAGTATACTAGTAAAAAAATGTACATAAAATCTTTATAAAGAGTGCTTAATTCCAAGTTTGGCTACGATTCGTATTGGACTGCTCATCTGACTTTACACGAGACGTAGTCAAATTTTCAAAATCCGTTAAAACAATTTTAGAATTAAATATGATATGTAAGTAAATAGGAAACTATTTGCATTGCCAAACAAAAATACTATTTTTTATTTTTAAAAAAATACTTACCGCACACGTCCGGTATACTACAATCAGTTGCAAAGTTTTCTCTCGCCATGCTCACGTAGGTTTTAGCAACTAAACATGCCTTGTTGACACCATCTTGTTGTGACTTAGCTGATACCATTTGATTACAAGCTGATCTATACGCTGCTGGTGACATAATTGGGAAACATGATCTAAAAAGGTAAATTTAAATAGGTATTTATATTTATTAGATATATTGTTTTCTTTTCTCTAAAAAACCATAAATAATATAATATACTTTAATGAAGACACTCCAGAAAATATACTAGGACATGGTGGTTGATCGGTAGATACTAAATCGTTAACAGTTGGCTCTGTGTTTCCTGAAACCTTGTATGCTTTTAAAAATGTTTGCATATCATCGGATATCTACAATAGAGAGAAAAATCACTTAAACATTTACTTATAAATTATCTATAATTTGTTATAATTTTTTTTACTTGTCCATTAGGTAGTTTTAAATCAAACGTAGGTTCTTGATACATAGTTCCTAATAAACCGAACACGTTTCCATAATAATATCCATTAATAAAGACCTCAATCATATCAAATTCCATGGAACATTTAATATTCAGGCCAACAGAAGCATCAATTCCATAGAAATAAATGTCTTCCCACATTTTGACATTATCGTTTATAAATGGGAAATTAACACCTTTACCATTAACAGTAGCCTGCAACCAACATTTAAATTGAGAAACGCCATGCAATTATCAATACAATATTCGACAATTGGTGAAAATATTACGTTAAATAACAGTAAAACATAGGTAAGCAAAATAAATACCTTAAAAATTTAAATTAGAAATTAATAGTAAAATATTGTGAAAACTGGAATAAATCAATGAGGTTTATGTGTACAAGAAATATTCAATATTCTCACAATTACACATAGGTAGATTGTAAATAATAATATTATGATTAATATTTTTTGATAAAGATATAAAGATATTATACTGAATAAAATGAAGAAAATAACTTCGAATGAATGACAGTTGTGTAAATGATACCCATTGTTATTATTTTGTCTTGATGGAAATACAATTAAGAGTTTGCAGTTAAATTTAGATGCATTAAGAATATTATTCCTTTAAATATGAATTCTATAGTTTAAATTAAAAAATGATTTTCATAACTTATTTATATAAATTGATTTTAAATATTTTTAATTTATTCATATAATAGATTTAGGTATAATATTAATTTTTAACTCACACTTCCTCCAGGCTGTAATACATATGTTTCACCATGATCATTTAACACTGAAATTGATGTTAAAACGTTGTCGTTGTAATTTGCAAGTATTGAGAATTTATCATTCATGTTGTCTTTGGCCAATATATAAGTACCAGTATTTGGTGTAAAACTATAGTATTTACCATTATATGTAATTATATTGGTGGAATCCATAATAACACCTTGTCCTGTGCAATTGTTAAAAAAGAATGTAAATTACATCTCAACAAATAATATCAATGGATATTTTTTTCATTAAACTATGAAAGTATACATTACCTCTAAATGGTGGTAATAAATTAGACGGCTCCAAATAGTTGTGATAGATTTGCGCATATTGACTTAAATCACGCCAGATGTTTGGAACATCATTCTGGTGTGAGAAGGAACCCGGTGAAACCACATACAGAACATTTTTGCCAAGATTTGTTAGTTTACCTAATGCATCACAAATACTCATTGCTTTTTCATAATCCACATAATCAGAGAAATCAAATATCAATGATTTTGCCATTATAATCCCTTTATTTCTTAAATTTGTTATATCAGTCTCATCTACAGGTACATCATGGATCACCTTCAAATGTTAAATAAATTATAGGCACAGATTAAAAATTATCATTGCATTCGGTTTTTTACTGACGTAATACTAACCTTGTTTATATATTCGTCCAAAGCATTAATAAAACGCTGGTATTCTTTGGTAGGAGCTGTAGCTTCCAATTCTTTCAGATAGTTGTGTATTTCTTCCCATAACTTCTCTTTGTAGGGATACGATTTTAACTAAAAATAATGTTATTAATATGGTTGTGCACATAAAGATAAATGTTTCAACTTGAAATTATTTACTTTTTCAATTTGATCATGGAACATGTCATTTGATGGTAAATTTTTACTAATGTAATCTGCTGAAACATCATGAAGTGAATCTATTGAGCCTTTGAGTTCTGCTATTGTGTTTATCAAGTTAATCATGACATCTAAATAAGAGTTTGAAAAATCATATAATTCTTACTCTGTAAAGTATTTATAAAGCTGTCTTTCTCTTTTGAAATAAATTAAATTTTTTATTAAAATAATACAATTAATAACAATTGAGCACTATACATATTATTAGGAAAAACATACATAGTTGAAAATTAATTTTACATTTCTTCCAATACTAAAATATATATACTCTACCCTTTCCATTAAAAAGTCACGATGTTTTTACCATATAATATTAATAATAATAATAATAATATTCCTACAATGTATTGAATTATCCGAATTATTAAAAAAATCTTCAATTTAAATTTCCTATATTTATTGTGTATTAAGACACATTATCATGGTGTAAGAATAACAAAAAGCTTTCTCATTTAACGTATAGTTTCAATATTTCAAAAAGTAAATAGAAAACTCAAATTAATTTTCTCTAAAGCAAATTTCTTACAATCAAGGTACTCTTTAATAGAATGAGGATCTGATGATTGCATATCATTCATAGGTTTATTGGTATACGTATCCAATATATTATATAAATCAATCAGAGCAAGGTTTCCATCATGTCCTAATGCATCTAAACCAAGTGCCAATTGATCCAGTAAATATTCAATGTTCCGTGCATAGTATTCATAAACTTTCTTTGGGTAAACATTGACATCCCCATATAGATTGCTAAATGAAACGTCTACTGGTTCTATATTTTTAACTATTTCAATTTCACCAGCGAATACGATTTCGGTAGTATTTAATCTATAAACACATAGAAAATAAATTTGAATACAACATATAATAAATAATGTAAATTAGAAAAAAATACACAAATTTACATTAAGATTGGGAATTTTAATATATATTCATCGGCCCAGACTTCATCCCATATTTCGGACCACTCATTAAGGGTAAATTTTTTTAACTTTTTGGTTTGTAATTTTGCTCTTTTTGCTTCACGAATACGTATATTACGTTGTTCTGATGCCACGGCCTTTATATTTTGTAAATTGTTATTTATATTAATGATTTGTGTAATAATTTGACCCTTCACAGATTGCTGGAACACAGATGAATAGTTAAAAATATTTAAATATGTTAGAAAGAATTTATTATTATTTTGATATATTTTTACTATCTGTACCCAAATTAAATTCCATTGCTCTGAGCTCATTTGATTATCTGTATTCCACCAATTTGATTGTTGTAGGGATTTTTTTACAGTTCCTATAGGCATAACTTCATTATTATTTATAACATGATTAGCATTTATGACAGCTGCATCATCCATGGTAATAGAGCCTTCAATATCTAATTTCTCTGGAGATCCTTCTTTGTCTAGTAAAATATTCATTTTTTAAAAAATGATATTAACTTACTAATTTTACATGAAGATTTAATTAATTTTTAGTTTGTACAAACCATTCCATCCAAAAACGAAATTAAAACTTGGCTTTGGGGTTAATGATAGACTAAATGTATATGGATGATTATTGTAATCTATATTTGAACATGTGTTAAGAACTCCATCTTTGACATTAATTCTTGAATCAACGTTAATTACAGTTATGTCAAATATATTTATCTATAAATAAATGAAATAAATAAGGTAAGTATACTATATTTACCTAATACCTATCTAGGAAAATACAAACTTTGTTAATAAAACCGTCGGGCGTAAGTTCAGCATGTAGTTGAACAGGTCTTTCAATATTTTGGGAATCAACAAATGATATATCTAAGTACTTTCCCCATTTTTCATTTGAAACAAGTATAGAATCTTTGACTAAATAATCCAAATCCATTCCCTACAAAAATTCACATACCATGTATTGCCCAACTATAAAGGTATTATATGTCTTGACATGCTTACATCACTTATCGCTTTTAATTCGGCAGAATACAAAACTCCGTTGTTTTCTAGACTTCGTTTCAAACTACTATGAAGGTGTAAAGTTTGTTCTGTGGTAGGGAATATATCTAGATCTAATTTAACGTCTAATGGATTTTCCCAGCTTTTGAACATCTCAATATCGTTTTTTATAGCCATGGTCTAAAATAATTAATGTTTTATATTAATTTACTTTTGAATACACGGGCTGGGCCCTTATGTACAGCAAATGTAAGAATACATCTAGGTCTATGATTTACAACAACAAATTTAACAATATTAAATATAAAATTATTAAGAACAAGATAAATATAATATAGGTATATAATATATTATATTGTCATACCTACTACTATTGCGTTATATACAATTTTAAATATTTTACCTTATTATTAAATGATGGTATCAACAGGTTTAAATCAGTTACTGTAGATAATCCTTTTTCAAGCGAATAGTATGATATTAAATTTAGAGCAGATTCAGCATTTTTATTTCTAATATAATCCAACCAAAGTTGTCCTTTATATGTCAATTTATGTCCTCCTTCTATAGGTTCAATACTATAATATGCTAAATCTCTTATTTCTCGGTCCCCAAATCTAATCTTGATTGCTGTATAATCACACATATATATCAATAGTATTTAAAGTACTGAATTTAAATTTTAAAATTAAAAAAATACAATATGTGACCCAACCTCTTTTATTATTATTTACAAAAGCTTTTAATTCATATGAGTCGTCTATATGATCAGATGAATAAATTGTTAGATTATGTGCTTGGTCACATAAATTGTTAGTGAGTTTAAATTTCGAGTTAAAATCTAATGCATTTTGAGTGTCGTGAAGCAAATAATGGAAACATCCTGGAGAAATAACTTTTGATTTTAAATTATACGACCAATTCCAAGCATCTAAAAGAATTTAAATTTTTGTTATTATTCATAAATAATACTATAAAAATAAATAAATAATATAGGTATTTGGTACCTGTTCCGTCGTATTCCAAATCCATTTCAATCTTTTGTTCCTGGTCATCTATTTGATATAATTGTCGATAGATAAACATATGTTTAGTGATTTGCATAGATCTTTTGTATTTATATCTGTGGCCATTATATTCCAATTCAACATCATATACAAGCTGTAAGTTTGTTATTTAAGATTAAAAGAAATTTAAATGTATATATATATATATGTTAAAATACATACTTGTTTGCCAATATTAGATTCTGGATCTGTATAATTTTTATAATTTAAATCAAATTTCACGGGCAAAATGTTTTGTGAATCTTCAGGAATACTCTCTCCTGATACGTGTAGCTGACCATCGTTCAAGGTTAGCTTATACTTAAACCTTAAAAATTATATAGTTAAAAATTATTTTACTCAATAAATCGAACACTTACTTCTCAGAGAAGTAAACTTGATCATTAGAAAAACAGCGAACTATTGCAATACCTCCATCTTCAATTTCGGGATTTGGTATACTTTTAAATGATACTTTTACATTGTCTAAATTAGCTGATGGAAAATCAACATTGCCACTTCCATCACTTTGAAGTCCATTTAAAAATAATTTTCCATTCGCATTCAAATAATTTGATTCGTGACTACAAGGCCATACAAGCTATAAAGTAAAATTATTGAATGATTTTAATTATTTTTTTTAGTAATTTATTATTTAGAATAAAAGTGAATGCTTACTTTGGTATCAAACAAATAAGTATTTTCTTTATTTGACCAACCATGGAAATTTATAGATGACTTATATTCAGTGTTAGGAGAGTTAAAGTTAGCATCAAATTGAATGTCATTAGTTAAAGTATTCATATTAACTTGTAAAAGAGTACCATCATGTAAATCATAATAAAGTTCATACTGAAATCCTTCATCTGTGTACTAAAAATCAAACAATAAAAGGATATAATAATATATACCTATTTGAATGAACTATTATAACAGGTATTATTCACTCACGTGATGTTGGGTAATGAAATCAAATACTCCAGTATAATGGGGGCATCTTGATATAAATTCAAAATAACTACCTTTCTTATCTTTGTCTTGAACATATTTAAAATCTCCACTTCCTTTACTTGAAGGATCAGAAATAAAAGAATGTTCTAACTGTCCAAAAATGAATTCTCCATGATCTGATGTACTTGGTAGAATAGTTATATTAGCTTTAAACATGAAAATAACAAAAATGTATTATTACATAGTAAAACCGTTTATATTTGTTAAAACATTATTCTCACCATTTAATACCAAGTCGAGCAGGTCTGTCGTTGATATATTACCTAACATTGTAAATTCATCATTTTCAATTAGGATATCTCCGTTTATTTCGAAATAGTCCTTATCGTCCCAGACTATACGATTAGTACTTTTGAATATATATGGCGATTCAACGCGTAAAAGTTGGTTGGTGGCGATATTTAAAGTTTGAATTCTATATAATAATTTTATCAATTCCGATTCTGGTTGGTACACGTCACTATTGTCACTCGGTAATTCTTCCAAACCGTGTTTGTGTTTAATCATATTTAAAGTTGAAATCAATTTAAAAATTGGATACTCTCCACTGAGATATCCATAATATGTAAGAGTTACTCTATCAGTAGTCAAACAACTGTGTGCTTCAATGTCATTATTTTGTATGGTTAAAGAACCTTTTAAAGAATGGGTGCCCTTATTTGTAACAGCAGCGACATCATATAACAATTTTGTTGGATTATTCGAATTTCCACTTTGATAATCCACACTGCGTTTTGCAACAGACTTCATACTTACACTTTCAGAATCTATATTTCGTTGTACAATAATATTCCCCTCGATTTCAATGTTTGATAAATATGGATTCTTTTCTTTCTCTGCATTAATTTGTTTAGCATACAATGCTTCATATATAGGGATATATCTGGTTGTGTCTTTATCCACTACTTCACCTTCAAGTCCAAATTTAATAAGGTGCTCACTACCATTTACATATTTAATTTCAATTATTTTCTTCAAATCTAAATTGATAAATATACTTTGAAGAATAATTTCAGAGGAAGGAGTTTTCAACTCTATTATAAATTGATCATTTTCACGAGTCTCGTAAGCCAAAACAAATTCTACACCACGGCTAATATCTGCTCCCGGAGTTACATACATAAACTTAATATATTTTACAGATTGTGCTAAAATAATAAATTATTATTTAGTTATTGGATAATATTATCGATTGAATAATTTACTTACATTTAAAGTCGTAAGTGCCTTTTACAACATACTTAGTGAGGTTTTCATCTTCTTTTAAAACTTTGAAAGAAAAAGACAATGGACCTGAAAACGGTAGTAATGAATGCAAATTTCCATCCCAAGGAATATCGTACTGTGCCGAAAATGACAATCCTAGAGTATTTTTTAAACTGTCGAAAGTTTTGGTGTATGTTTGCCTAAAAATTCAACATTTTCAATAGCTAAATTGATCGTACATAGGTACCTAACACATTTGTATATGTAATAATATCCTAATATATTATATGCTAACCTTTCAACGCCAGGGCTCATAAGTGGTGTTTCAATAGTTGGACTTCCTTTTTCTTGGATTATTGAAAAGGCTCCAGATTTTGCAGAAAGCACATCCATAACATCTAAGGGAAGCTCGTAAATCATTTCAAAACCATGTCCTTTAATAGTTTCTAAAGCATAATCCAATCCCGTGGAAGTATGTAGTGAGGATGATACTTTATTTCCAACTTCTACAGTATGACCATCGACCGTAAGTAAAGTATTTAAAGTAAGTGAACCACTGAAAATAAAGGTTCATAGATATGTTAATCATTATAATCAATTTTCTATTAAGGTAGGTAAATGATTCATTTGTAATCGTAAATGTAACTTTTAAGTAACGTACTCATACAAAAATAAGCGAATTATAAAATTGTATTAAAAAAAAAAAACTAATTCAACCACTAGATTGATGGTTAATAAAGATAAATTTAATTATGAATTGATCATTTAGGCAGTTCTAACTATCACATTTTTACATTAAAACAAATGTTTTATTGGATATGCGTCAATTGTTCGCACAAAATTTATTTTAATAAATAAAATCTAATCTATACGTCGATCTGTCAGTGACAATATTAAATCGTAATAAAATAGAATTGATAACTGTATGTTTTTGAACAATATGGATTACCTAATGAGTAAAATACCTTCCCAGTCAGATTTGCTTTCAGGAAACGTGTTATCATAGTAAATCGGAGCAAAATTGCTGGTAGAAAAGTTGTTAACTAGAAAAAAAAAGGCTGTACTATTTTTATCAACTAATACCTACATCACGTACATTTTCCCGTTTTCCCAATTTGTTGAGAAAACACCGGGGAAAATCGAAAAATCACATGCTTAAAGTACCACCCCAAGAAAATATTATTTCAGCAAAGGGTCTACATCGTATACATCGGGACAAGATTTCTAGTAGAATTTTTGTATACAGTATCACGAACGATTATAATAAATAATTAGGCATGTAACTGGCCCGTTTAAAATTTAAATAAATAAATATAAAAAAATAAATAACACAAATATTTGTAGAACCAATACATTCTTCGCTACATTTAGAATCTAAAATATAAAAAGGTATTATTCACTAGCGAACGTCAATTTTCGCGCAAAAAATTTACATGATACATGTTTTATTACGTATTGTCACACGCGGATGTCGTAATGCCCGCATGTGTTAAAAATAATTTATTATTTATTATAATAATAATAGTAATAAATTAATATAAGTACTAAATACCTCGGTATAAATTTCAATGCAAAATTTGAATTTTCTGGTTGTTCAAAATAACTTTTTAAATCAATATTAGTAGCTAAATTAATTTTAATGGCTGATGTAGCCTGAATGTTTAATGTAACTGGAAGTCCAGAACAGGTTGCATATTTGTTTTCGTAATCAACGATCTGTATTTGTTTCCTAATATTTACCTAAAAAGTTTTTGAAATACATATTTATATTTAGAAAATCAAAAATAATGTAAATAATTATATTTAATTATAGTGATATCCAAATAATTATTAGAAATAGGTATATTACTTCAATTTTTTTTTTATCGGGTAAAGAATTATCGAAATTTTGAAGTATGGCATCAATAATGTGTTGGTAACTAAGTTGACATTCGTGTCCTTGAAAAGAAAACCAACCTATGTCATTTCCAAATACTTTTAATGCTACATCCATATAAATGTTCTTTAAATCCTCTTTTGAAACGTTTTCACAACTCTGTAAACAAGTTTAAAATATGAATATTAAATGCATTTGTTAAGCTTTGTTAATTTTTTAAAGATAGGCAGAAATGAGTTGTATACAGAATATCTTAAATCAAAAATAAGGATGAAAAATGAAATTAAGCAAATCTAAAAAAACAATAAAATATAAAATAAATACAGGTTAGTACTATAAATTTCTACAAACGTGTACTATAAAAACTACATTACAGTGCTAATCTACATATCGTAAAAAATTCATTATCTCGAAGAATATTAACATTTTTCAGATTTTTTTTTTAGAACATTTAAAAAACAAGCTACTCTTAAATGGTGCGTTGCCGTTATTTATTGTTACCCTTATTTTCGGAGGTGAAATTATTAATCATTTTTGATTTTAAAATAGTTAAATGTATTAATAATGTAATAATTTAATATAGTTTTAAATTTCGAGTTAAAATACATTTCGGTGTTGACATTTTTCATTTCCGTCAATCCACTGACGAGATATTCCATGGTTTGTCGTTTTGTGTGTTGGAAGAGAGTAGTAGAGCACTATTCAAACGACGCGCGATTCGCCACCACACAAATTATACGCTAGCACTAAAATTGGATTTAAAAATAAAAACATTCTACATTCATTTAAAGTAGAACTTCATCTGTTTAAGAATTTTAATATAGGTTGATATTTGAAAATTAAAAGTAGGTGATATTTTCAACCTCAAAAATATGGATGACAAAAAATAACGCGAACGTCAATCGTACGTTTAAAGTTACTTGTTTTAAATATTCTTACGTTATGTTGATCACTCTGTATCACGCAGTCCATCCTTTAAAAATAACTCTCAATTTATTTTCCTTAATTTGTTTGTCTCGATTTATTAGATATATTATTATGCAATTATTAAATAACAAAAAAGAAGAGCTGATACTACTGATGAATGTGCTTCTGTTGTAGATAGCAAGTTAAGAAGGTAGGATATGTACAGTTATTTTATTTAAATCTGTAAGCAACGATAGACCATTGCTAACAAAATACGGTTCTGAGCGAATAAATGATTTGATATGCTGTAATATTTAATTACGCTTTTAAAATAGAACTACCTACTAACTTACATTTTGTATAGCTCTGAGTTAAACTTAAATGAAACTCGAATTAAATTTTCAAGCATTTATGTTTAATCAAACTATTTTATCTACAGAATACCTACAGAATAAAATCTACCTACATAAAAAAAACCGCAAGAATGTTTTGAATATTTTACTACATCTAAAAAAGGTTAATTTAATTGTTCTTTATAAGTGTCAACTCTTCACAATAATTTTGAATCAATTTATAACAAAAAACCTAAATCGAAAATAACAAAATGATTAATCCCGTAAACTTTCCCGTATTTTCTACGTTTTTTTTTCAATTTTTCCAATTATCATGAAAGCTGGTTAGAAAATCAAAACAAAATTATCTTATTCACCAACTAGACCTGAAATGGAACAAAAAAAGTATATTGATATTTTTTGATTAAAGTAAGATTTCTGATATATATAACGTACAAATTGAAAATAATGAAATCGGTAACGTCGTGGCACACTTTAAATATTTGTCAGTTTTCCTATACGTTTTTTACCGATTTTTTCCCAAACAATTTGAAAATCAAGAAATAACTTATCAATGCACTAATTAGATCCAAAATGAAACAAGAAAGGTATCTCGTTATTTTTTTGTTTGGAGCAAAATTTTTGGTAGAAAAGTAGTTTAAAGGCACATAAAAAATGAATTTAAAAAAAACACATATAACGCTCAGAATATAAAATTAAAATTAAGGTGCCTACTTGTAAAACTAATTTTATTCAAAATTCTATTTCTGATTACATCATTAAAATGAACATATGATATATAAATTATTAGAAGATCGTTACATTTTAAAAATGCGGGCATACTTCACACGCGGGTGCAACCACTGTTGTAGGTGGGAAGTTAAGAAAGTAGAATCCAAAAGAGAACTTAATGTATATCTGTAAGCAACGATAAACCATTGATAACGAAAAAACGATTCTGAGAAGAGTTCAGTTAATAGAGATACTTTATCAACAATATATATGTCATATTATGGTAAAATAATTAAATACACATTATATTTTTTTTTTAATAATATCTGTATAATATTGTACCGATTTTTCCGTTTTTTCTCACTTTTCCCTTTTATTGGGAAAACTGCCAAGAAAATCAAAAAACGATCTTAAAAATACCACCCCAAGAAAATTTCCTTTCAGAAAAAGTTCTACATTGTATACATCAGAGGAAGATTTCTGGTTGAATTTTTATGCACAGTATAAAAAAATAAAATAAACATCTTTGTAAAACCAATACATTCTTCGCTACACTTAGAATCTAAAATCTAAATAAGTATTATTGTCGACCATTGGCCCTTAACTGGTGGTCCGTGAACTTATCTCAATTGATTAGTTTACTGGATTACTGATTTCGTTATGTACGTATAAATTAAATATTATAGAGAAAGAAATAATGGGGTAGTGGAATTCAATGTGGTGGTTCGTGATGATGGAAAATGAACGATGATAATGTTTCGTGTCTATAATGTTAAGTTGGAAACCGCTGTTGTGTACACTGTATTTGATATTTAGATACATATTAATTTCTTACTTCTTCAGCAGACATCGTTGAATCTACATTATTTTGTTGTTTGTGTTTAGCATAGTCTACAGCTTGATTTATATAGTTTTTAATATCATCTAAAGTACTGCTCTTATGTGTGGCAACATATCCTTCAGGCCCAAAAAGTTTTTCTAATAAAGGTTCGATATTCTCAACACGTGTATCAATCTAAATCATCAAAATAATTAATGTAATTAATATTTTGTAAATGATTATTACGTAGTGTTATAATTTATTATATTTACATCAAAAACATGATGTTGGCGTCCAAATACTAATGCTTTTGTTGATACCGAAGAAGACCGTGCCAAAAATGAACTAAAAAGAAAAATAACACGTTAATTTTGTAAAATACACTTCTTTGAAAATAACATGTTAACATTTGTATTACTCATATGAATAAAGGACATCTCCGTTTACTAAAACTCCACTATGTAAAAGAGGACTTTGATATGAATATTCTAAATTCTGCGAGTAACGCAGAATATCTCCGAGCGATTTCTTTTGCGACATAGATTGAATTCCTCCATAAAATTTCTTTTGGTCTAATTTATTTTCATCTACAGTGGTTTGTAGGTTACGCAAGTAACTGATTAAATATGCTTGAACTAAAAATATTAATACATTATTTAAATACAATATGATCTTTCGTTATTTTGAAAAGTGAATAAGTAATACAATGATATATAATATGATTCATTTAAAACCAATTTTATTATCTAAATAATAATTTGTCTTGGTCATACTTTGTAATTGACAATTTTTGTCATCCAATACTTTTTTGATAACGTTAGCTTTATTGTTTGATGGATAGGTGGCAAATGCTTTGAATGCCAAAAGTCTTAGTTCGGAATCTACTGATGTGTCTGTAAAGACATTCTCGCAGGCTTTCTCGATCTAAATAAAAGAACCGTAAAAAAGTAAAATTAAAGTAACGAAAAAGTAACTAAGATACAAATTTAAATCGTACTTTCTGATTGGTTCAAGAAGTGCATAATAATAAAATCAAATTATACATATATTTAAGACATATAATATATATATATATATATACATATACAATTTTACAATTATAAGTAGGTAATTAATTCGTATTTTACATACCTGAGGATTATCAGCATACATTTTCGCCACATTCAATGCTGCGGCTTTAATTCTCGGTTTAACCGATTTATTCATGATAATTTGTACAATTTGATCTGCCACATCGCTATTAATATATTGTGCGTTTCCAATACCCTTCAAACTTGCAATCACTAGATCTTCGTCATTGGGCGATAAGGAAACATCGTTTGCTTTTTTTAATGGAGCTCCTAAATTGTTTAAAGCTTTTTCTATTTCAGGACTCTTAGTATCTTGAGTTTCTTTTATGTAGTTTCGTATCAAAGAGCCGACTCCTATGTAGGCATCTTTCAGACCCCTTTGATTGAGTAAATTCTGCGAACAATTATTATTTATTTATTATTAGTATCCTTCAGTGGTCGGTTTTTCCAATAGCACTAGTGCAATAATAATTATCATAGAAAATGATTTACCGATGCTGAGGCTACTGCTTCTTTAGTAGGACATTTCGCGTTCGCCAGATTGTTGAACCACTTAGCCGTTAGTGAATCGCTCAATATGTGGCTGTCTATAAGTTTTGCAACGGCATCAATAGATTCCCCACTGTTAGTAGCCATTAGAGCGTCTATGAAAACTTTCCTACAGTGAACACCATTATTAATAATTCACAATAGCGATTAATTATATTCAAATGGTATTTTAGTTGTATTTCATCGACGTACTGTGCCATTTCCGGATTATAAAATAAGTCATTATTAATTTGATCGAATGCATCGAGTATATCTTTCTTCTTTGCTGTTTTCAATAGCGATATTAAATCCGCATAAGATTTAGCTCCGTCCATTTCCACTACTGGCTCGAGATTTTGCATAACTGATTGAAGGGCTACTACTAAGTCATCCGAATTTGCGGGTTCCACCGACGAAGAAGGTTTTTCAAATACAATTGATCGAGCTTTTTTCAGGTTCAATACAGGAGCTAAAAGAAAAGAACCAACATATAGGTACATATTTAAACGGTATGTGTATATATAAAACTAATTTTACTTACGGGGATTGGTCGGACCCTTCTTTTTCAAGGCCAAATTCATGGACGCTGTTATTTTAGTTATTACATCAATAGGGCCAAACGGTTGATAGAGTAAAGTCTCCTTGTTCTTAACAGATAATATTGTCGAGCTTACTATCTGAATATCAGATTTTTGGATGGCTATCGAGAATGGAGAATCCGCATAGACCTATTACATATGGTTTAAATGTAATGTATGTTTTTAAAATTCAACTAAAATATTCGGAATACGAACAAGATTTGTTTGCGATGGTGTCAGTCCGAATAAATTTATTTTATCGTGTCCTGTGCACTGAGTAAGATCTTTTTTTTTGTTTATTGTGCCTGACGAAATCGATGAATACGAAGTGTTACAAGTTCCTTGAACGTCGGTCTAATGTGGTAAATTTATAAATGAACAATTTTACATAATCAATGACAACGGAAATATACAATGCATCAATTTAATAACGTTGTGGAAAAATACCTCGAAAAGATCTTTTGGACTTTCTTGTACCGATGAAACTTGAAGTGTTGATAGAATCGCTCGTTTTAAATTCATTGAAGCAACAGAATCCTTCGATGATGAACAGAGTTTCATACCAACTTTTCCATTATTAAAAGAAAATCGTATCGGGTACCCTTCTAGTTTTGTATTATTGTAAGTCTGTATAATATTATTAATTACCTATTAGTTTATTACATAGATTGAATTTATAATATTATTCCTATAGTAGCTAGGTTAACCTAAATACATAAGTACTTATATATTATACAAATACCAATTTCATTGAGAGAAAATAATAAGGCGTTCTAGACGATAGATAAATTACTGACCTTCGAGCCTTGGGTTATTTCAACGTGTTTGAGGTAAAGGATGCCACCACATTTTTGCGTTCCGATAATATTAGCTATTCCAATGATCGATATTTCTGACTGACCTTCTGGAGTACCAGTTGGAGCAGTAATGACCGTGTTTCCGTCGAACACGTAACTGTATTTATAATTTTCAGTAAACACCACATCACCATTGGCAATTCCTAAAACCCAATTTTGTTTTTATACACATAGTCATGTTGACATAGGTACCTAGATACTTAATAATATAATATAATAAGTTTACAAACCATCGGTACATTCTGTTGAACACTGTTCGCTCCCATCGTCGTCCGTTATTACTAAAGTAAAATAAAAATATATAAACTTTCAGTTTCTAAAAGCTAAAACTAGTAAGTACTATCGAAATTTATACTATAGATACCTAATACCTAGTTGTGTCTAATTTGGACGGTTGATTTCGATTTATTTCTTACTGTGTATTGTTTTCCAGACAAATTTTAATTCGAAACGAAAAATGCATTTAGGTGTGTAATAATTAACTTACTCGCTAATTTTGACGAGGCCAATCCTACTGCTAAAGTTAGCAGTGCCAATTGTATTAATGTCCCCATGATTACTCCGAAGTGATTTTAATCAACTTGGTTGATTTGGTTTGAAGTTTATTATTTCACATTCATTAAGACAGTCGATTGATCGACCTTTAGATTGTATACTTAATTGAATTTCCTAAAAATCACATTAATTTTATTAAATTGAATAGGTACCTAGGTAATTATTTTTTTTTTATATCTACAGGTATCTATTCTAAATCTATAAGTGCTCTGCTGTAAAATTATAAAATCGTAATCGTTTCGCCCATTCTTGACACAACAATCTAAAGACACCCAATGATAGTGCGAAGGAGGTATATTTGAATCACACGATTCACCAAAAACGGGTAGGTGGATGCCTGGGTGTTCAGAAATATATAGCAAAAATTATTGTTTTTACAAAACAAATCATTAAAAGAATTTTAAACTGCCAAAATGAATAGTCAATGAGTTTTATTGAAATTTAACAAATATCAATAAATTTGTGGTAGGGTAAATAGAAAATTAAATCGGTGGACGGTGATTCAATTATTTAAGGCAAAAATATATTGTGTCGCCATTGAAGTGACACCTATGTGATGTTGCCTAAATAAAAACCTTTCATCATTATGTGCTTATAAAAATGTCCAATACGTACTTATTTGAAATTAATATTAATCATATTAAATCTTATGAAATTAATCGGCGGTATCTAGTATTTCTAATCATTAAGATGTCTTCAATTTCATACGAAACATATAGATTTTTCAAAGTTAAGTAGGTACTTACCTGGTAAAATATGTTTAAAACGTTAATGAACAGCTAGATGGGTATGTAGTTAATTTATAACAATATTAAATATGAAGTTATTATTCGAAAATAACGCGAAACGATCAGTAATAGAATCACATGCACGAATGTCATCGTTTCGTAATTGCAAGTTATTTTATACGACAAACAGGTGTCTATAGTGCATGATGCTGAATTGATTTAAACAAAGAAAATCAGAAAAAATTATGCATTCGCATAAAATGCCGTAATTTTGAATCACAAATTTGCAATATTTACAACAACAGAATACATTTGAGATTCGGTAAACATCATTTGTAAATTAAAACTCGGTACAACACTATTTTTTTAAATTCAAAATATTTTGTTTGATTTTAGTATGTTAGGCCCTGTTGTGACCTTGCCATTGTGTAATTTTAACTAATCACTCTTAATATATAACGCATCAAAAATAATTTAGGTATTGCTCAGAGTAGCTGTCACTAATTCACTTTTAGAGAAAGTCGGAGGCAGTGCCAAATTCAAATTACTGAAACAGGGATCATCTTCTTGAATCTAAACAATTTGAAGATTTGATGGTCAGGGTCCTTCATTGTAGTTTATTATCTATCGGGCTATTAACTAGAATTCAATTTTCATTGTCCTCTTCAAGTATACAGCAGGATTTGGCAGGTGTTATCAATTGCAGAGGTAGGCAAGATATACTTTAAAATAAGTTAAATTTCCAATCAGTTAATGAAGTTTTAGAAATTTGAGACACAGTTAATACTACATTTTAAAACTAAAATAAATTTTCTGCCTTTAACTAGAATATACAAAAGTATATTGCCTCTTGGCAATTTAACACATACTATCCTACCCACCATTATAAATAATAATTAATATAAATCAAACACATATAATTTAGAACCAATCATTTAACTAATGATAATTATTTCAAATCAATCAATATTTGTAAATTCAACTTTTACTTTTATTATGCATACATCAAAATTGGTTTAGTTGATATTGTATACTCAAAATCTTAATTTTATCAAAATGTAAATTATAATGGTTGGTAATAAAAAATACAAAAACAGTTTTTTTTTTTCAAGTTTTATTTCTCATAATAAATATGTTTACACAACAAAACAACAAAAAATATTAATGCTAAAAGAAAAAATAAATCCCTTGTTTAAAAATATAAAACTAAATAATAGTGCTGCTGCTGCAAAAAGATTATATAGATAATAAATAAATACAAATTATACGTATACAATGTTGAGATAGTAGGAAAAATATATTCCAATCAGTTTATAAATAGATGAAAAAAATTATCTAATTTAATTAATTTAATACGCCAACATTAGGTTTACAACAAAACTTAAAAAATAAATATATGCATCCAACTCTTTTCAAGCCTCTTCATTTATTATTTATAAATAAAAAGATGTCAAATACTGAATTTGATAGTTGGAAGGATAAAAAAAATACTATTTATATGTAAATTAATACAAATCCAAATGCATCAAATGTTAATACAAAATAATAATAATAATAATAATAATAGTATAATATAAATTACAGGACCATTAGTTGAGTTAAATTAGTTAAATTAACTAAATTAATTCACACACATTTATTAAAAACAATTGTGCAACAAACTGTGCAACAAAGAAATACATAGAACTAAATAATAATTTATATCTAAATCTCAATAAATAAATAATAATAGTCGTTAATTTTCAAATCATATTCTTTTAAAACTATTATTTCATAAAGAGCTCTACATACAATAATGTATGCTAAGCTCTGTTATGCATGGAACAATAGACATCAATCACAAATCATTTAGTGAGTTGACAAACATTTTTTTATTGCTAGGCTTTCATAAATCTGGACATATTAGAAGGAAACATCAAAATAATAAGATGGCACTTAAAGGATTCTGAATCTATGAGGAGTTGGAATCCGAAAATAGTCATAAATCTGGAAACCTCGACGGATCTTCAACGTAACTTGATGGCACTTCAAAAAGATCACTATCTATATCTTCACGAAACTCAAAAGCCTGAAATGTGATCTTAGCAGACACCGTAGGCAATATTGGAATATCTATATTAATACATTTCAAAAAAATAAGTGAAATACCAATATGTAGGTAAAAATTTGTCAACAGTAATTGAATAAATTGTATATAACATACCTAACTTGACTGGAAACCCGGGTGGTAATTTCAAATTGACAAAATCTCGTAGCTTAGAAAAATGCTTAAATGGAGCAGTAACTTCAAGAACATCCATTAGCATAGCAACTGACAGAGGAAATTCCATACTCTAAAAAATTATTGAAAACTTTAATAATTATTCATAACATAACCTAAAAATAACCTTTTATGTAATTATAGGAATGTGAATTTAAATGTTTTAAAAAACAAGAAAATGCCCTAAAAAATTACAATTTAATGCACTTAAATAAAAAAGTTTTAAAAATGTCTTAATCAAATCTTTATTTGTAACATTGAACAAAAAAAAAATGTTATTTATTATTAGGTTTATGTATGTAAATTTACTAAAAACCACAATAGTGCAAATAGTGTAATATATAAATAGCTTATTGTTGTCTTTATTGTTGTATTAATAGCTTATTGTATTCAGCATTATAATTATCTAGTACAATCGGTAAATCTAAACCTAATAAATAAATAATAGAAATATGAATTTTTTTTCTTTTAGTAGGAAATCAAAATAAATTTTATCAAATTTTCTGTTAACACTATGGAGTTTGTAAAATGAAGAAAAAAATGACTTTAAAACCTAAAAATACACTTAAAAAAATCTAAAAAAAAAGTTCTAAAAATGCAAAATAAGTTTTATATTGTAATTATTTTATATACGAAATAAATTGTGTGCTTGGAAAGTGTTGATTTAAAACATTCAGAAAAAAATTAAATTTGCATTATAATCCGCACCTTATTAATTATATACATACCATAGCAACTGTAGCTTTAAATCCTCGTGTTGTGTTTTTACAAACCATTTCTCTGGATAGGATTGGATGTTGTCCAACTGGTGAAGTCAAATACTGTTTCCATGTGCACAATGTAGGCATAGGAGGTATAAGTGATTCTCGTCTTACAGGCTTTAATATAAAAATGATAAAATTTGATACCATAATACACTTAAAAGTATACACAATAAAAATTTAAATAAACTTCTTACTTCTCCATTACCATCAATATTAATAGAACACCCTCCTTTTGTTAAACTGTCCATGATTGCTTTGTTTTTTTGTAGATCTTCTTCAGACAAGTGTTCTCTTCGTTTTTTTTGTTCTAATGTCAGGCCATTAATATGATAAAAATCAGCATTAAAATCTCCAATAGTTTCCTGTAAAGAATTCACAAACATTTGTTTTAAAACCAAATAGTATCAATATTCAATATGTATAGGAGGGTAAAGAATAAAGATGGTAAACATTTTTTATTTTTAATTGAGTGTCAAAATGTATTATCATGGATGACGCATATAAAAAATATGAAAATACTATAAGAAATTGAATATGTATTTTTAATAAATTGATTTAAGCTGTATATCAAATTGTCTAAACTGTTTTCATACTTTTTTGTCTTGTCGAAATATCCACCCAGATTGAGCACGGGAAAATGTTATAGATTTAGTAGACATTTGAGCAGTGACTATATCAGTACTCATCATTAGATCAACTTCGTCTTCAATTTCCATTTCAGTTTCCTTTATAATATACAATTTTAAGTTTTTATTTTCCCCATAAAAGTTTGTAAAAATTAAACATCCTTACTAAATATCTGACTCTTTGGTAAACGCCTGCTTTATTATCCATTACAATGAGAGAATGTGGTGGTTTTGCATCGCCATCAAATAAAAAAGTAATCTCTCCACGTTCCCATTTCATATCGTTCATAGCAAAGTCTACCAGTGTTGTATCCAACCTGAACGAAGTACCTTTTTTATGAATCTGACAAAGATCTGATGGTAAAACTCGAGACACCAATGGCACTGTAGAAATACATATTCATCAATGATAACGACTAATTCCATAGTATACATTTATTGAATTAATGCAAATTATAAATAAATAAATAATATTATAATATAATAAAATAGGTTACAAATTAAAAATATTAAATTCTCACCCCAACTCTGAAAGTCCCATTTAATTTGCATGTAAAAATCACCAACTTGTTTTAATGCAGATACTAAATTAGGTCGTCTGTCTTCAATCTGCTCCCTTGCTTGGTGTTTCATTTTTTTTAACAGTGATGTAACTAAAGTAAGAATAATCATATTTATTTAAAATACAATACAATTCTACAATTCAATGTACTACATTGTTGTACACAATTTAAAATATTTTACAAACAACATTTCAATATCAATAATAACAATGGCATTTAAAATTATAAAAATAATTTTTCTTTTGACTATTAGAGGCTTTAAATGTTTTATGAGAGAAAACATGTTTAACATTTTTCTCGCTAGCTAACTAAAAATAATTTTAACACCTTAAATTATTCTCAACACGGTACCAGATAAGTAAGTCATTTGGACAAAAATAGTATGTAGTAAGTAACACATTTTTAATTTTAAAAGTAATAAATCAATACCTACACAATTAATTTTAATACACTACTTATTTATGAATATAAATACATGAACAAATATTTAGTTATATTGAATTACTTGTTTTTCTTTTAAAATATTTTTCCTGCTTTTTATGCCCCCCCCCCCCTGGAGTATTTATACAAATGAATAATAATAACACACAATTACCAAAGCCAAAAATAATTTAAAAAAACTATTTTTAATCCATACAAAGTTCAAAATACTTAATTTCATTAGATAACAATAATTTTATAATTTGTATTGATTAGCTAATCTAAATTTTCAAATGAAATTTCCATTTGTTGTATAGTGTTTACTGATTTTTAAAAAATTATAACATAATCAACCTTGAAAATACATTAACAAAAATACAACACTATTTTTTTTCTGTGACGTGACTTTGTAAATGAACTTAATAAGTAGTAATTATTTATAATTATTTACATGAGTTACGCATAATATTGAAATTAAATCAATAGTGTAATTTAGGTTTTCATATGTTTATTATTGTATACTAATAATTTAAATTTTAAAACATTTTTTCTTTTTTTTTTTTCAATATCGACTCATATTTTTTTAATATTGTAAAATAGTGAAAAAGGGACAAAAAATTGCACCAATAACTTTTAAGTTAAGGTTTAGACTTACTGAAGTAATCAGTGAAATGTAATCTTACAATTTATAATGTTAATGTACCTTATCATTTATGTAATAATTTGTACAAAATATTAGAAAACAAATTCATTGTGCAATATAAAAAAACGGATATACTTTCCACGATGGTTAGGCCGATGTAGGTGAGAAGTTAGGAGAAGGTATTAGAGAAGGTAGGATATAGAGAGGAATTAAATGTGTGTCTGTACACAAAAATTAATCATTGCTAACAAAAACGTTTCTGAGGTTAGGTTACATATTTACAGTATACATGTTTTGAAAGGTCGTAATATTTATGAATTTATGATTTTTATTTTTCACCAAAATTTTGATTTTTAATGACCCTGTTTAATTTGCAAGCATTTTTATTAGGTCTAACGATTTTATCCATAGAGTGCTTACATAATAAAAATTACATAAATAATTCGTAAAATTAAAATTTCTATAAATAGCGAAATTATGGTTCAATGTTTTTAAAATTTTACCACGTCTATAAAAGGCATGTATATAAAGTTTTCTGTTCAAATTTCAAGTCTTACAAATATTTTAAACTTGGTTACAACAAAACACCAAATTGAAAATCATAAAAGCATTATTTTCTTAAATTGTCAAATTCTTTCAATATTTTTTTTTTGGTTTTGCTCAATTATTAAAAATACTACACAGCAAATCAAAAAATCATTTTCTTTTTCACCAACTAGATTAAAATTTTTAATAGTTAAAATTAATATTATACGCCAAGTTACCGCATTCATTTCAATTTTTTTGGTTTTTCCCAATTATTATGAAAACTACTTTGGATATCAAAAAAATATCTCCAATTATCACCTCCACCAACTAGATCTGTGATTTTTAAGGTAGACGGTAGTAAGGTACCGTCTATCATTGAACTTTTTTAATTTTGAGGGGCTTTTTACTTAGGCAATTACCATATAAATAATATCAAAAATAATTGTTATTTTAATATGTTTTCGTAAATTAATTTTTCATACCATTAGTATTTTCAATTGAAATAATACATTGTGTATTTCATTTCTGGCAACACTGAAATAATATTATCAGTGATCAAAACTAAATTATCAAAATTATAGTGATATCAAGTTATTAAATATAAAATCTATAAATCTACAGAGAGTGAGATAATGTTGGTTAATATTAATGTTATACTTATATTATTTAACATTTTATAAGTATTTAAATATAAACTTGTTTAAGTAATACAAATCTTTAAAATGAAAAGTGTACGAAAACTAATACCATCATGGTCACAGCATTTTTTTTTTGGGAAGAGATTATATGCCAATAATTCCAAAGATTTAACAGACGAAGAAAACAGGAAGCTGTACGAGAAACTCACCGGGCAAAAAACTAATGAAAAAATATTAGAAGCTAATGCGTTTACTAGATGGGTAACACCACATTACAAATCCGGACCTCCACGTTTAATGAACTATGATTGGTCAGTAAAAAGCATATATTATTGGTTCAAACGTAAACGAGTGGAATTCCATAAATTTAATCAAATGTATTTAGCTGACAGAGTTAAAGTACTTGGAAGCGATATAGCTGCTGCACATTTTGTTGTTTTTCGAGGTGGTGCTATCAGATTTCGAGGTCATAATGAATTTATCAAATGGTCTAATACTAAAGAAGAATATTATGAAAATTTACCGAGAATATATGATCCAAAATATTTTGTTGAAGCTATTGATGTATCAAACCATAATTTCTATTACCAAGGATTGGAAAACTTCAAACATTTGTATAAATTAAAATGGATAAGTTTCAAGAATAATCTAGCTTTTGATAATTGGTGTCTAGACTATATTACATATATAATACCTAATTTGGAATATTTGGATATTTCTGGTACTCAAGTAACGGCAGCTGGTATAGCTGGTCTTCAAAAGTTAAATAAACTTCAGGAATTGGTGGTAAACAACAATAATGTAGAATTTCAAATGGCATGTTTTGCGTTAGAAGATACTATCCCTGGTTTATATGTTACAATATTGGACAATAATAACAATTTGTTTAAAAAAGAAGTCAATGATGAGAGTCTTAATGTAAATAAATTATAATTTAAAAAAAAAAATGTTTAACTTGTATGCATTATTTATTAGTTGATTTTGTTTTACTTTATGTTCATTGTAAAGATAAATTAGTAGGTATATCAACAGACAATAGTAAAATTGTATTTTTAAGATAGTTATATACAATTTAATATTCAAACCAATTTTTGTATTTTAGATTTAAAATAAATAATATACGATTGAATATAATTACTAGAAATATTCTGTGTACATATTTATATACTTTTGTAATCTTTGGGTATGTGAGAAATTTGAAGTCTTTTTATTAAAAATAATCTATAAATAGACAATTTCAAATTTCAAATTATTAACATCTATAATTTGTTGATAGATGTAAAGTTTGAAGAACATAAATCTGTTTTAATCTGTGTTAAAAAAACCTTTGTTAAGTTTACATACATACTATACCAAGTGAAGTTAAACTTTAAATAAATAAACTATAATAAAAAAATCACCAGGATATGACCTCATCACTAATAAAATTTATCCAAAAAAACAATTGTTTTAATAACTTGTATTTTAAATTTTATATTAGAAATTTTTACTTTCTTTTCATTTGTAAATTGTCACAATAATTGTTCTCCAAGCCTAACAAACCAAAGAATGAAATTACCACTTATAGACAGCTAACTACCAACTCTTGCCAAAGTATTTTAGGAAATCATAAGAAAAAGACCAATACTCCAAACCTACAACATAGTTTCACATTCCCAATTTGGCTTCAGAACCAAACATTCAACTGAATATCAAATTTAGACTAACTGAAGAAATTTCATCTTTATCAGACTAAAAAACTACTACCCAGGGGTATTTTTAAACGTAGTTCTTGATCGAGCTTTGACCAAGTATAACATGGGAACCTACTCTTTAAATTTAAATTTGTCTTACCTACACCATCATTTATGATAATTCACTAATATTTAGAAAATCTTTTTTACATAATCTGATATGGTAACTTCATATTGTTTTATTCCCAAATTAAAGCAAGAGTACACTATGTGACCTTTCTCCTGATATTTTTAATGTTTATATAGCTAACAATCCTAAAACATCAAATACTACTTTAGTCACTTATGCAGGTGACACCATGCACAGCGATACTTCACGTGGAAATGACCCTGTAGAAGCTTTAAATTCCCTCCAAATAAACTTAAAATGAATTGATAACAGTTCATCTAAGTGGAGAATTAAAACCAATCCAAATAAATCAATATATATTTTGTTCACTCTACAAAAAAATTCTGGGCCCCCTCCTCTCCGAAATTAAAAAATGTCCATTCGGTATGGTAATAACTTAGTTTAGTTTACTTATCTAATAGACTATTTGCAAAACAATTGTATGTTAATCTTAAATTCAATAATATAATACCTACCTATTAGTCAGTTAATTAAACATAATATCTGATAATTAATAACACAAAACTAGAATCCAACAATAATTTCTATAACATATTACTTATAATACATAGTACTATACTTATATTATGGATGAACTATAACTTAATTTGCTTATAAACTAAATTTGGTTACCTAATTGATAAAAAGCTATTGACTTACTAGTAATACGATCCCCATAGCTAACCGCTTCAGCCAATGGAGTCCACCCATTTAAATTTTTCACCTTGACCGGTGCATTGTGAGCAAGCAGAAGTTGTACAATATCTGAAAAGCAATACTTAATTGGGTAAGTATTTCACATACTGTAGATAACATATTCTCAAAAACCAATTTTGTTTAAATGTCGAAATTGAAGTGTATAATTTACCTTTACGGCCGAGCATGATGGCCAAATGTAATGCCGTGTTACCTGCAAACAAATAGTAACGGATGAAACAAGATCTATATAATAGTCGTGCCTACAAGATAAATACCGGATAACCACGACTACACTTACCATGTTTGTCTTTTTTGGACAAATCCTCCACCCTCAGCTTCCGGGCGAACTCTTGCACGTCGCCATCGAACACACTTTTGTGTAGTGGATATCCTGACAAATCTGGTTCTTCCGCCATTCTGTTACTAACGCGTCTCTTTTGGATATTATGTGTCAAACTGTTCACTATTTGCCTATGTACTATAATACAGTTTCATCATGTTGACTTTACTGTCTATATAATAATATTAATTGTCGCGTATTCATTGTTTATAATACACAGGTAAAAAAATTGTGTTGAATGTTATTTGAACGTTGAAAATTGATAATAAAAATATAATATTGTCGACGATACGGTGATAAGCGAATCGGATATTAAGCTGTAGGCTGGTTCAATCGATATTTAATTTTGACAGCACTACCACAATGACAGTTCTTGGTACCTATAAAACGAATAACTACAAAAATCAATATTCATGCCGTAAGCGTTACCAACATCCAGTCGACAGTTAAGCACAATTTAAGATAAGTACTGTTATCTAGAATCGTGGCACCGGCCAAATAATCCAAATTTCCAAAGTACTTATTTCAAAAAGTGATCTTCATTAAGTATCAACTAAATTCAAAATGCTACAAAAAAGGTTTGTGAAGTTTTTGATTGGAGCAAGACGTACCTATTCAATTCAAACAACTAAGTACAATCAGTAAATCGAAAAATGGTTTGAACCATGGTTTGGAAAATTACAAAATTTAATTCTAAGCTCTTCTTAGAATCATTTTTTATTTTAAATAATTTATTGTCATATTGAAGAAAAAAAAGAGTTGATATTGTTATAGGTAAAAAAGTGGGAATGTGTAATATATACATTTAAATATAGATTTATTTAATTTATGTACGCGACGATAAATCATAGCTGACGAACTACAATTCTGAGCTTTGTTTCTGAGTAGAAGTTCGATTAAAACTAAACAAATGTTGAGATTTCGTAATTTTTATGTTTTCCGGTTTTTCTTAATTAGAGATTATGAAAACAGCTTGGAAAATTAAAAAAAAATATGTAACCAATTCATCAACTAGGTCCAAAATGCTGCAAAATAGCTCGTTATCATTTTTCGATCGAAGCAAGATTTTTGATAGAAAAATTGTTCACTCAGTGAACTTCACTGACACAAAAACAAAAAGAAAAAAAAAGCACAGGTCAGAGTAAAACCAATACCTACATTGTTCGCTGCGCACAGAATCTAAAATGTAACTATAGGTGTGCACAAATAAAAGCTTTTATTGATGATATAACTTACCTACTTCGTAATAGTTTCGTTAGTGTGTAGGTATACAGGTACCGTTTTACATTTGATCTATTTACCATTTGCATATTTATTATATATACCTATATAATATTATTATCTTATCATGCGTTTATTTATTTATATTGATTGTTTTGGAATTATTCAAACTACCTACCTATATATTATAGGTACCTATTTGGTAAGTATAATATATGACTCATGACGACTGTAATAAAATATACCATAATATACAATATTTATTACGTAGATATTCGTTAGTTTTAGAAAGCTATATACCTATATTTGTAGTCACCTAATAACACTAATAACTATAAGCAATTAGATACCTATACCTATCTACAGATTTCTTTAATTTTTTTAATTTCCATCCAAGATTCTATAACAGTTTTTTATTATAGATCTTTAAAGTCGCTTTTTTAGTCAACATCCTACCGTTATTAGGTAAATGTCATAGTTTTATAGACTGTAAAAAAATGGTATACAATAATCCAATGTATTTCCAAACATTTTTTATAAAGATAACTTTGGCCCTCGGTTATATACAATGCACATCCACTGTAGAGGCATCATTTTACATTTTTTCATGGCATGCAAAACTTATACTTACTACCAAACTATGGACATCGTCCCTAGGGCACCACTGGTCAGTGGGTCTCTTTTTCCGATTCTTTTCCACTGATACTAAATTTAGTTAGGGTGGACTAGAGGTGTCCTAAGGACCATTTCCAAAGTTTGGCAGTGATCGGACGAATTATAACAACCGCATTATGGTGATAGGTTTTAAATTAAAATAAAAGGTCTCGCGGCGAAAATGAATACAACGGCGAGAGTCAGTACCCAGTACAGTGGTGTCCTAGACTCAAAATTATATTCCATCGGCCTTCTTATCAAACTCAGTGCGCACACCTACTAGGGTTGTAGATAAATCTAGATACATGTAGATCTATCTGCAACCGTGACACCTACTGTAATTTGTTACGAAATTCGGTAAACCAAACCGGTGTACCATGTCGATTCCGATTTATACATGTTGGTATGTCAAAACGTATCAGTACAGTACACAACGGTAGTGGCGTAGCCAGGATTTCAAAATGGAGAGTGCCAATAAAAATATAAATAATATTTATTATAATATATAATAAATACTTTTTATATGACCAGATATACTGAAATAAATATAATTTTTAACAACTTTTTATTGATAATAATTTATTGTATACAACTTGCGCCTTAAATATTCTTAATGAACCTAACCTGGTACTTATCAAGTTATAATACTTATTATATTATTATTGTGTCAAACAGGCACGTATTCAGGATCAATTTTCGGGGGGGGGGGTTAAAATATTTTTAATGAAATAAATTATACATAGAGTTTGTAGTTAGTCTTTGTTATATTATAAATATATACCTACTATAAAAATTTCGGGGGGTGTTTGAACCCCTAAAACCACCCCCTGGATACGGGCTTGGTGTCAAAGTCCAATCAATAACTTTCTTCTTCCTAGAAGATTTTTCAATAACAGCAGTCAATATTTATTTTTCTACACTTTTATACTTTAAATCATCTTTATTCATAGTAGCTAAGGCCAAACCATTTAATTTTTCTTCGTTCATTGTAACTCTTAAACATATTTTTAGGCTTTTTAAAACAGAAAATGTACATGCCATAATATATTTATTACATAATATTCTATTATCATAGGACATAGAGATATCAATACTGACGTAAGTACTGACTATTAAGATGTCAATAAAAAAAAAATACGGCCGATGAGGAGGCATGGTCCCCCAGGGCCTACCCCTGGCCCCGCCACTGCACAGCAGTACATAGTAAAAGATCAGTATGATTTCGATGCCGATTTGTTCATATACCTATGTGTGATATCGATTCGGAAATTATGGTATCGGTTTAACAAGAAATTCGGTGCAGTAATCGGACATCGGAATACGACATCTCAATGCCAGACATGCCGTTATTTTTTTTATTAAATTATAATTCCACGTGATAGTCACACGTCTCGTCTTGCGAAAAATACAAATTTATATAATATAACCATTTTATGGATTTAAATCTTAAAATTAAATTATTTAAAGAATTTATCTTAACTAAACATCCGATTAACGATTATACCATTAATACTTTTCCCTTACAAAGAAGAACTCAATTAGGTGAGATTTTTCAAAATTATATAACAGGTACTTAGTACCTATTTAACTTTTAAATTAAAAACGTTATGAAGTGAACAACAGCGAAAACAAGTGAATACAAATAAACAGTAACCATCGCGCGATAAGAACGACGGTGGTGGATATAGTCTCTTAGTTTCAATTTTATTTTTATGTTAATTTCTAAAATGTAATATTAAAAATGATGGCAATATTTCGGACGATGTTTAGACGCTAGGCGTGCCGGGTGTGCCTTACCCGAACTTAAAGTTTGCGCACGCCCATGGGGTGGACCATTGTTGTAGATGAGAAGACAGGAAAGTAGGATAAAGAGTATTTATTACAGGCACATTAAATTATTAATAACAGTGGATACACCCTTCTTCATTATCCAAGGAAAATCGAACATAGATAGCTTCTTTATTTTATTTTAAGTTTTTGTATAAATATAGAATCATTAAAACAAAAATGTTTTATGGAATCAACCATTTAATAGAATCAAAATAATCTGAATCAATGAGATCACATTAAGCGGAACTCACTGTAGTTAAAATTAAATATTTTGAAAATGTTGATTTTTCTATCTTTAGTTGATCTCTTTTTAGTTTCTATTTTTAAAATAAAAAAAGGCTCTAAAGTACCTACATTTTATTGAGACCACTGTTTAACTGCAGTAATTCAATAAGGACCTGGAAGGCCAAGTCCACCATAATCGTCTGAAGCCATTCCCAATGTAGAAACTCCTTCACGGTTTATGAGCGAGTTTTGGAATAATAATAATATAATATACCTATATTATACAATACACCTATCAATACGATAACATTAATGCGTATTCATATACTATATTGATTCTTGGTTTACACCAAACAATAAAATATTGATTTAATACATGTTTATTATGTAAATAAATATAATTTAATAACTATAAAATAAATTAAAACTTCGTGTTACAAATAATTATTTCTTATTGCACGAGTATCGAATACATTCAGAAACGTTTCCGGATAATGATTCCTTGAAAATGGTTGTCAATTCGTGTTTTGAAATGATTTTTTTGGCGATGCTAATAAAACATAAAATAAATGTCGTATTAATGTACGCTACAATCAAATTTAAAGACAAATTATTATTTTTATGTTAATTATATTTAATTCTGGAATAGTTGAATAATGTATCCAGTACCGACTGCTTACTACTAATGTTAACGAATTTCATTCCAGCTTTATATATTACCATCATTGTATTCCAAAAATTGAATACACAAATTATTGAATTATATAAAAGTAGTTAACATAATCTAACGTAGCCTACTTGGAGCGCATTGTCCAAATGGAAGTATCGAACAAAAGTAAATCATAAGTACGAGTACAGCATATGGAAATTATAGTTACGGATAAATTATATGTAAGGTTGTATAGGAAAACAAAATTCTTGAGGTGATATTTTGAATTACTTATACCTAATTCTAAACTGTACATTTTTGTCTACAATGTACATTGTACACACACCATCAATAATAAATAAAAAAAAAAGCAGATGCTGTTGATGGTTATACCACTGTTTTAGGTTGGAAGGTGACAAGATAGTATATATAGAGTTATTTATTTTTTATTTGTGCGCAATAATAAATTATTGCTAACAAAAAACGAATTTGAAAAAGTTCAGTTAAACTGTTTTAAAATGCAATGATTTATAGATTTTGAACCAAAATATTTTTATCCACGTTAAATCAAATAAAATCTAAAAAACCTCGAACATTTCATATGTCTATTGTCTATTAATACTCGTTCTCCAAGCAAAGTTTTGGAAATTCGAACACGTCTAGAAAAACTTAATGGAAGTATTTTGTGAACATTTCTGGTATCTACGATTGTTAATTGAATTTCTTACACCATAAGACAAAATCGAAAATAATGAAACCGTTATTTCCGTAAATGTATTCGTTTTTTCCCAGTCTTTTTCCAATTATTAGAAAAAATACAAGGAAAATCGAAAAATGGCTTTTACCGTGCACGAACACGATTAAAAATGCTACGAAAAAGCTCCCTTATCGTTTTGTGATTGGAACGATATTTCTGGTAGCTTACTGATAAAACAAAAAAAAACTGTTTTAGGATAACGGGAACGGGTGCAATTACTGTTTTAGGTGGGAAGTTTGGAAGGTAGGATACAGAAGAGAATTTAATGTATGTATGTCTGTAAACAAAGATAAACCATTGCTAACGAAAAAACGATTCTTAGCGGAGTTCAGTTGATAGTGATGCTTTGTCAACAATACATATGTCATATTATGGTAAAATAATTAAATAGGAATTATATATTTTCTTTAATAATATTTGTTAAATATTTTATCGACTTTCCCGATTTCTACGTTTTTCTCGGGTTTCCCACATTTTCCCCATGGTTTTTCACATTTGTTAAAAAAAACTCTAGAGAAAATCGAAAAATGACCTCCCTAAAGTACTTCCTGAAGTACACCGATTTCCTTTTAGAAAAGGTGCTACGCTTAAAATTCGGAGCAAGATCTCTGGTAGAAATGTTGTCCACGGGAAAAAATCTTTGTAAAACCATAAGCTTCTTCGTTTCACTCAGAATCTAAAGCACATTCTCGTTGCGCTAAAAATGTTAACTATGTATATTGATACCCGATTCGCATAAAACGACTTCTCCGAATATTAAATAGTGTATTATATTTCGTAATTTTACCGTCCAATCGTACGCGCCACCGAACTTTTGGCCGCTTCGAGTCCGGCTTCGCAGACGATTTTCTGCAAGCACGGACGGTCGTCGACGGCTTCGCCCACCGTCGCCGCCAAACCGTTCAGGTCTCCAAGCGGACCACGGCCGTCGAGTCTCGCGTGCTCGTGGTCTTTCATCGACGCGTAAACGTGGACGTAATGCGCTATCCTGGGCAACACCGACCTCTTGAAGAAATATGACGCGGCCATGTAGAAACCGGTGGCGAACAGCGGTTCCAGCAGTCTCTGCAAGAACCGACCGACGACCGCCATCACGGGTCGGCTGCATAACGACGGGAATCCGCCGGCCACCGAAGACGGATTGGTCATCAGCTGCTGAACCCCGTACAACAATCGCAACAGAACGTGCGCGTTGGCCGCGAACGATCCGGGAACGCCGACCAGACCCTGCAAATGGTTTGGATGCACCTGCAACCCGGCGAGTCCGACGACGGACAGCAGCCCCGCCAATCCCGCGGTACTGGCGAACGGCGGCGGCGGACCAAAGAGTCCGGTCTCGAACTTTGGTCCTATTCCGCCGCTGTCGACGTTAAGCCCTTCGGGAGCTGCGACCGGCGGCAACGGCGGTGGTCCCTGCAGCTGCACACGCACCGCACTCCCGCCGCGTACGTCCATCGGGCCCGGGTGTTTTGCCCTGTCCGAGACGCCGCCGTATTCGGAATTTCGCCAATCGTTGTCGGCGTTTTCATCCGGTACCATTCCGGGTGACGGATACTCGTGATTTAGGATACGGTCGGCGTACGGTTTGTACGGTACGGAAACGGCGGAATACTCGTAGCTGTTGGTTGTATACGTATCACAATTCGCCTTCCGCAAGAGTAGGCTGAAAATCGTTAAAACGACGGTGCCTGTAAAGTACAATTTCAAACAAATCTGATGTTAAAAAAAATTATAAAAATTTTAAATAAAAAATACTAAATTATGTCCGATTTTTTTTTTTTTTTGACCTATAATGAAACCGTCAAGCATTTCTGTATGTCGAACAATTTTCTCGACATTATAATACCTATACCAAATGAAATAGTTTCAGAAAAGATACTGCTTTTGAAATTTGAAACATTTAAAATAATGCAATTATTAATGCCACGACGCATCATAAATATTTGTTGGTTTTTTTTTAGTTTCCCATTATTATGAAAAACAGTTTGTAAAATCAAAATTTAATCTCATTTAATTCACCAATTAGATTTAAAATATAACAAAAAAGGTTTCTTGTTGTTTTTCGATTGGAAAAAAATTTCTTTTAAAAAAGTTGCCCAAAGACAGAAATGAAAAAAGTCACATATAGGTATAGTAAAAGCACATTTCTCACAACGCTCAGAATCTAAAAACAGATTCCTTTTAATCTATTTCACAACGAAAGTGCAACTATCTTATTCTTCCTCTTCGCTTTTATCCAGCCCTTGCTCATATCTCTTCTATAGGCCCTTTTTTCTTTTGCGTACTTTTTCCGTGGTTTCCAATTACACACTTATCTCACATATCTTCTTGAATGTATCTCATCTAAATTCCCTTCAACACTCAACACACCCATCTCGTTCTTTATTATTTGTCTAAATTGTTTACGTTACGGCTGTTAGAACAGCGGTTTTTCAAAATTTTCTCCGATTTTGTACAATTTTCATATTATTTTAAACTCTTTTACGCGGCCCTTTAAATATACGACTTTTCCATTTGTCAACTGTCCGATATCCATTTAGAGGGAAAGAATAAGGCCGTTTTCACGGACGAAAGTGACTTTGTAAAACGCCATATATTTTTTATGAAAGAGCAAAACTTTTTACGAGTCGCATTGAATTTCGATTTTTGATTAATCTATAAATAAAAAAACACTCGTAAGAAGTCTTCCCCTCTTTCAAATAAATACGAAAAAAAAATCGTCAAAATCGAATATTATTGCGAAAGTTTTTCCCGCACGAGGCATGTTTTTGTGCAAAATATACGGTGGTTCCATATAACTGTTCACGTATATTCAACAAAAAAAAAAATAAAAATAATTTTGCAGGCATTACACATCACTCGAATTTAAAAAAAATAAAACAACAATAATTACATTTGTTCCGTATAATAAAACGTTATACCTTTAACGAAGAACGATGACTTCCACATAGCGTCGTTTAGGTAGACATTGATTATAAGTTACCGACTGAAACGGACACGCCGGTGTATAATCAATCGACTCGTAAACGCACGTATTTATGCGTATCAGACGAGTATTATGTTGATATAGGTACTTATAAAGGTCAGGTTTATACCGTTCGACTTTCTTGCTACTATGCAATTATTCAAAAACTTTACGCGATCGTAGAGAATAACGATTATAAAATTCGACGATTTCTTTCCCATTATATTTGTATAGTTAAGCTGGGCGTATAATACGTTCCTTAATTAATGCCGTTCTTAATTTACTGCTAATTGCGTATAGGCGCAAAATAAATACGAAACAAAAATCGGGTTTTAACCTACTTGTAAGTTATAATATGGTACCTGTCCGTTCATAAACTACATTTCAATACATAATATATTATAGATAATTATAGATACCTAACCTAGCTTAGCCTTATTTATAGTTAAATATTTGTACAATATAAATCAAATGAAACGAATAAATTAAAAGCCTATTATTTATCGCGGTTCGAAAATCAATCACCCATTGGCCGTTGCCTATTAAAATTTAATTGTAAATTGTAATGACCGAATAACAATAGAAAGTGGAGCAAAGAAGCTATTATTGGTTTATCGATCCCTACTGAAATGTGATATTTTTGTTTTCTGTGTAAATCCCGTTCACTGGTGCCTTACCTAATTTCTTTATTTGATATTTTCCTAAATTTCCAACAGTTGTTCAAAAAAAAAAAAAAAACAACCAAACTAAAACACATCTGTATACCTAGCTACTAATTATTGTCATTATTATTATTATTATTTTTGATTCTTGTTAACTACACCAATGGTGCGCAACCATTTTTGATCCACGACCCCCAAAATTGTTTATTTCGATGATATGGCCCCAATTCCTACCAAGATTATATAAGTGTATAATATATATTTACTTAAAGGTCTAAATGAATACAAAAATTGTATTCGTATAAATTAAATCTTTAATTTTAGGCAATTTTAATATTTCTGTAATTTATTTAATCCAAAACATAAACAAAAATACAAAATTAGAGTTTTATACAATTTAAAACAAAAAAAATTACTGAAATTATTATAATTATATTCAATATTTCAATATTTTTAAAAATAAAATAAAATAACTAGGTATTACTTGATTAAATAATTTTAACGAGAGCATAGGCGTGCGCACGGGGGAGGCGGCACCCCCAAATCGTGGCATTGATACTGTCCATAGTTAATTGAAAAATTAAAAACGGGATAATTTACATTTTTATATATATCTATTATTATATTATGGCGTGTCGAAATTTCAAAATCTGTGCTACAATTTGTTTAAATTTATTTTTCACTGGAAACAGTACATTGCGTCTATTGGTATCAGTATTTATATTATTTGGATTATTATGTACAATTTTCCCTTCAGTAACGGCATAATCATCGTAAATCCAAGTGCAGTTATTGTTTTCAACGATTTCCTCGTTCGGTTGTATTGTTATAACCAGTATATAAACATGGTCTCACCCCCTCATTGCGTGCAATGGATTCTATGAGTCACGACAGAATATTGATCGTTTTTTCTAAAAATTCGAAGTGCATTTCGAATTTTTCACGAGAATGACTTTTTTTTAGGAAATGTTATAAGATTTAATTTCATAGTAATTTAAAGCGTGCAGTTCTTCTAGAAGGCATTTCACTGACATATACCACAAATTAAATAGTATGTTTAATCTGTGCACATACCAGGTAGGACCAGACAATAAAAAAAAAAACGGTTTGTATCACTAATAAAATAAACGGTTCTTATGAATACCTGTCTACCCGGAATATATGACACAGTACCTTAATAAAGATTGATGGCTGTTTTAATATAAACAGGTACCACGGTTAAAAATATATCGAGATATATCGTAGTATACAACAATACAATTGATAAGAAGTGTCAATGGTTCAATGGTTTGATAATATGGGTAGCCACGTTACGTGTTGCGCAGCCTGTACCAGAATTCATTTTTTTTGATCATACCATGTTTTTTAATCGTGCGATTATTGCTGCGGTTGTATTGATATAAAGAACATGGTATGATTGCAAAAATGAGTTTTGGTTCGAGTTTTCGCAAACGTCATACGTCTATGGTCTATCGCACGAATTACGATATATTACCTAATTAAGGTGTATTTTAATTCGCGGTCTATTGGCTATTCCATAAACAATACACAGTTATTATTATCTATGGTCCATTTGTATTACCAATCACGGTGTTCGAAGACCGTGTTACCAATGTTGAAATTTCTTATCAATTATTGTTGTACTAAATTCTGAATATGACGTCATACGCCTACTGAACGATGTGACCGGCAAGAAGTTACAATCATACCATAGTGTTCGTATCATCTTATTGCTTATTTCACACCCGTAATAATTAATAACATCAGTACATCACTATTCATTAGGATTATGTATGTTTGATCACTTCAATAATTTTTGTAACAAAATCGTAACTAAATAATTTGACTGGAATATTATGTAGAACGTGTGTTGAACACGCGTTCGTCAATACACAAAATACGTTTTTAGAATAGTTTATTTGTAATTTTAGTTGTAAGTACTCGTTTCCGATGGATCACTGTAAAAATTTTATAAAATCCGAATTTCCCTTAATCGATATCGAAATGTTTCAATATATTCAAGGTAAGATTATCACATTCGTAGTGTATAGCTTGTCATTTTCAATAGATACGTGTAGTATTAACTTTGACCTAAAATTTTTAAACTTTCTTTACACTATGTAGTTACGTATATATATATATATATATATTTAAAGATTACATTTTGTGGTTTCAGGCGTTTTAGAAAATGGAATTGAAGACTTTCATGACTCTGAAGACATTTATGAAGCAATTGGTGAAGTATTACAGGAAATTGCAAATAAATCTGAATCAGACATTAGGTAAAACATATGGAAAGTTAATGGTAATTAGATATTATTATATGTCATTAATAATTGGTTATTTCAGAGGAATCTGTTCGAAATTGTTACATTTCATGCGTCCTCATTCTGATGACAGCGTTGCAAGAAATGGCCATACAAAAATTTTAGATGCGCCAGTGCATTTAGCTTCAATGGCTGCAGATCTGGAAGATAACGATATGGAAATCAAAAGTATATGGGTTAATTCAAGAGATGATAGTCTGGTATGTTTAATTAAAAATGTCATTGTTGTATAAACTGATTATTATTGAAATATATATTACTTATAACCATGGTCGATTATAGAGATATCCGCACTGCTGTATATTCATAACGTAAACAATTGTTCCAGTAGATGTGTTTGATTTGTGAGCTTACCGGTAGATCATGCTGCAGTCTTTTGGCCCTAATTTTCATACTTATCATATAGATTTCATACAATAAATTAACAAAAAGTCTCATCTAAAACAAAATTGCACATAAATAAAGATAAATTAATATATGTCTTAATATATTATAAATTTGACATTATGCTAAGTAAAATGTAAACATTAATAAATTAAGGTAAAATTATAAAATCAATAAATAACAATGGCCAATAGTACAGGTTAGATCAAAAAATGTAATTCTTTTATTACCTCATTTATATATTTATATAATTTAAAAGTATTAAAAGTTAACTAACACTTATAATTTGGTTTCTTCTTTTTTCTCTGGATATTCTTTTGGATTATCTATTTTTCTCTTTCATATAGTCTCATTATCATATGAATGTAATAATGTAAACAACTTGCTATTACACTACTTTTGTGTTCCGTTACATGTAAAGTTTAAGTGATATGATATTTATGAGAATTTTTTGATGAAATCATTTTTCATTAGGCTTTTCAATTTTTAGGTTACATTCTTTGTTTAATGTTTTGTCATCTATGTATTACTTTTGTTTATCCATTTTTCATGGTATCCACAACATGACCTATAAAAGAAGGAATCACTCGACGAATAGCTAATAAGTGAAAATTATCAACAATAGTTTGCAACTGAATGACTGAAATTACATTTTGAGAAACAGTAATTTGCTTTCCCAATATTAAACTAACAACTTCACTGTGGTTTTTATTCAATCTTATTTCTTTAACAACTATTGGCTTTAGTTCTAGATGACTTGAAAGTTCCATTTGAGCAAGGATCTTCATTTCATTCAAATTGAACGAAACCCAGGGTGAATTAGGCAAGTTAATTGTTAAAAATGTGTCCCAAATGCTGAAGACAGTTGACTATTTCTTCTAAGATATTAGAAGTATCAGCTTGTAAATTTATAAATAAATGTGTATAAATAATATTTACATACATACTAAGCCAATACAAAATTAAAAAAATAATATATTAGTAGTTCACTAAATTTGTCTAGCATACACGATTATAAAAAAAAATTGTTGGATTACTATGTTTGAAGTTGTTATGTTTAGTATTAAACATTTTTCTGTAAATAAATATTTTTAAATTTTTGGTAGACAATTGAGTGCACAGAAAATATAAAATTATATATAATATAATATCTAAATATACATAATCAAATTTGCAATATAGGGATTACAAAACACTTGACCATTTTAAATAAAAACAATTGTAAATATTCAAATAAATTAAGAATTGTAATATAAATGGTTGTGACATTGTGTGAATGTTCTATTTTGCAATTATAATAAATCAGTTATAAGTAAAAAAAAATTGACAAATAAATTATTATTATAAATTTATTGCGTCACTGTGAAAATCTTATTACAATATAAAATATAATTCATATTTCATTGTAGACAAAATATAATAGGTGCCTATAATTATAATATAGATAATCATTTTAGTTAGGGCCATAAGACTATTACGCGGTCTAGTGGTGAGTTTCCTACATACATACTTCTCGGAACAGGATTTTGATAATCATGTGTATACTTCTATAATCTACTGTGTTTATAACAATGCACTTAAATTATTTGCTTCAATTTTGTTAGAAAGTTGATAAACGAAAACTAGAAAAAGCTCAAGCAAAATTGCAACAAAAACTGGATAAACGGACTGATCAAGTTGTTAAAAATATCGGTACTCTAAGTGTAGCTAGTAGTAAAATGGATGGTGCAACTGCTTCTCAGGTTACGAGTAAAAAAGAAGCAAAAATGGAAGCTAAAGGAAATAATCGAGCTCAAGATATAAGGATAGAAAATTTCGATGTTGCGTATGGAGACAGGTATACCTATGATAAATTAATAATAAGTAAAGTGATTTATATCATAATTTGGTACTTTTCAATTTAATATGAAACATAAATAATGTACACTCTAATTTATTTTAATACTACTATTCGAATAGTTAGAATTTTGTTTACTATTTTAAAAATAATGTCATTAATTATTATTATTTTTAGAATATTACTTCAGAATACGGATGTAACTTTAGCATGTGGTAGACGTTATGGTTTAGTTGGAAGAAATGGTCTTGGTAAAACTACACTGTTAAGAATGATTTCTGGGTAAGATTTGTCACATATTGTTCAGTAATAACCAGGGCTATGAATTTAATACACTAAAAAGTGTTGACTAAATATGCTTAAATATGCACTGTCTATATTAATAACACTGCTTTTATTACATGAAAAAAAAAAAAGTTTTTTATGAGTACATACTTAATTTCTTAGTGGTTCTTCACCGTCTGAACATAAAGAAGTATTGGACACATTATATTATAATATATTCTTTGAGCTATAAGTATTAAAATTATTAAATTGAACAACTGTGTTACCAAGTTATTATTATAGTAGTTATTTATTTATGTTTTTAATAAACTTATATAGTAGATATATTTTATAGATACCAGAACAATCCTGATTTTATTAGCAGGTAACAATTTAAATTAAATACCTGACTAAAAATAGAATATTTTTATTAAAACTAAAAGAAATATTATAAACCGAAAAACATTTAGACTAATTTATATCAGATTGAGCGAAAAAATTTAAATATTAAGAAAAAAAGCATTAATACAAAAAAATGAAAACATGTATTTATATGCCCTAACCTGTTAAGTATGTAAAAATATACAAAATAAGATTTCGTAGTTTAACTATAGATAAGCCAAAATAAATTCTGGCCTAATCCATTTTCTTACATGGTTTCACAAAAAAAAAACATTCAAATGCATTAAATTCATCGCCCTGGTAATGACTATATAATTTTATGATAATAGAAATGAAACCCATTAATATCAAAATGGTAAATCTGTGAACTCATTTTATATTATATACAGGGTGATTTTTTTTTTCATGAACCAGTAATTATGTCTGAAGATTTAAAGTGAATTTGATTTCTTTTTTTTCTAATCATTATGGAATCGTTTAAGCTTTATTTTAAAACCATTTTAAATTTTTTACTCCTACTTCATATGCCTTAAATAATTACATATTTTTGATTTTCAAATAAGAACCTTCTTCTTGAACACAGATTTATACATAGAATATTTTCCTAGAAATTTTAATATGCATAACACTAATATCTGATTTACTGTTTATGAGTTAGAATCGTTTAAAGTTTAGACTGGTGGAGTAGGGAAGGGTAATAGATAGGCTATGGATTAGGGGTAGATAATTAAAAATCTCTTTAAATTAAAGCTTAAATGATTCCTTAATGATTATAAAAAACTGAAAGCAAATTCACTTAAAACCCTCTGAAATAATTGCTGGTTCATGATAAAAAAAAATCACTCTTTATATAGGTATTTACATTTTGTATTCTGTTTTTTTTTTTTTATTATTATTATTTCCATGGGATCAGAATATTTTTATTCTGATTTAAAATTAAGTAGTGATTGTTTTATTAATATATTTATGGTTTTTTGCATTATTAATTATATATCATACATTTTAGTGGTCAACTGCGAATCCCATCTCACATATCAATTCTGCATGTTGAACAAGAAGTTGTCGGTGATGATACTCCCGCTTTAGAATCTGTGTTGGAATGCGATTTTGTACGTCATCGTCTTTTAACTAGAGAAAAAGAAGTTAATACATTAATCGCTAATGGGTAAGAAAACAATGAGTTTGCTTTAAAACATCTTGTTAGAAAAATGAACCTAATGTTGAACATTATTCTAAAGTTCTGCTGCTAGTGCTGAATTATCTTCTGAACTGAGTGAAATATATATGCAGTTGAGTGCCATAGAAGCTGATAAAGCTCCTGCCCGTGCAAGTGTTATACTTGATGGTTTAGGTTTCAATCCAGATATGCAAAAAAAAGCTACTAAACATTTTTCAGGAGGATGGCGTATGCGTTTGGCCCTAGCAAGAGCACTTTTTTCTAAGTGAGTACACACTAATACAGTAATACTTGTTAAAAGCAATTGTTGATAGAACCTCAATACTCTTCTTCTCCTTCATCTTCATCTCAACTATTTGGGGTTAGCCACCCTTGTTCTAAACTTCCACTTGACTTGATCCCACACTTTACATACACTGACTCCCTTATCATTCTCAATTGCATTTGATCATTTCATTTTCAGTATTCCTTTCTACTTCTCCCCTTCTATGTTTATTTGCATTACAATTCTTATTGCTTCAGATTCTTCTCTCTCCATGACATGCCAAAATTATTTCAATCTATTTTCTCATTTCGTCTACCACCAAAGCCACATCTAAGCTACCTCTTGTATACTCATTCCATATCTCCTACATATTTTTTCTATTTGTCTGTCTACTGCTCAATACTCTGAACCATATAACAGTTAGTCTCACTACACTTTTGTAGAACTTACCTTTAAGTTTCATTGGAATTCTCTTGTTACATAAAATAACTGACACTTCTCTTTTTTTTACTTTAATTCTATGTTTCACATCCCCGCCAAAGTCAGAGTTCTTTTTGTACATATGATTAATATATATATATATATATTATATATAACTATATACTTAAAATGGTCAATTTCAAGAATAATCACTTATTGTCATTAGCCATCTTGTACTGTTTCTTTAAACTCATATTTTATTGTACTTCTACTTATCCTTAGTCCGTTTTCTTTAAGTGCTATTTCCCATTCCTCAAACCTATTGTTAACTTCTTCCAGATTTTCTCCTTTCAAAGTTATATCATCTGGTATTTTGAGTGGTATGCTAAAAGCGCTAAAATAAAACTTCAAGCTTAATCTTTAAAAAAATTAATTTTATTGATAAAAATCACAAATTATTGTAGACTGTAGTTTGATTGTTTGAGGATTCATAGACTGTTAACAACAAAATAATTTTAATAGGTACTTTTATAGAAATGTACCCATGTACTATAATAAAGTTTATTGATATTGATTATAATCTGATAATATGTAACTTTAAAATATCTGAATTATGTTTTTTAATAATATCAATAAACGCTTGGCACAGCGTTTCCAGCTGCAATATAAAAACTTGGATATATACTGTAACTGGTAATTTCTATAATATCGATATGGCCCGTAATATCAAAAATATGAGTGCTTCTTTAAAGAAATTGCTTATACGAAAAAAAGTTAATTAAATTTCTTTTGAAGAAACCTGATAAATTGTATTAAATTGAATACTCCTATAAGAATTAATAAATAATAACAATTTTAATGTATACGTTGCATTATCATTTAACATTATAAATGTTAACTAGTTTCATCTGTTGTGCCCCTGCACATCCAAGATGTGACAATTGGTAAAATTCTTGTTTAGAACTGTTTGACAGAATTTTACACCAGTTGTTGACCTAAAAATCCCATTTGTTACTTCTTATGACATGTAGAGGTACCATGATAGTATTTTAATCCCCTGAATATTTCAAGTCAATACATAATACATGTAATACAAATAATCTAAATAATATAAAATCATTTGTGCAATTTTATATAGACCAGATTTGTTACTACTTGATGAACCTACTAACATGTTGGATATGAAAGCAATTATATGGTTAGAAACTTATTTACAAACTTGGCAAAGTACATTGCTTGTAGTATCTCACGATCGTCATTTCTTAGATACTGTACCTACTGATATATTGCATCTCCATTCACAGGTAATACAATTTTAATATTAATGTTAATAGTATTCGTTAAATTATGTGTGTATTACTTTTAAATAGCGTATTGATATGTATCGAGGAAACTATGAAATTTTTGAAAAAACAAAAAATGAAAAACTCAAAAACCAACAAAGAGAAATTGAAGCACAAATGGCTCATAGAGCTCATGTACAAGAGTTTATTGATAGATTCAGATATAATGCTAATCGTGCTTCCAGTGTTCAGAGTAAAATCAAAATGCTTGAGAAATTGTAAGTTAATTATTGTATAAGCTATTATATAATCATGTATTTGTTTAATTATTGTTCCTATTATATTGTTTTAGACCAGAATTAAAACCTATTGAGAAAGAAGTAGAAGTTGTGTTACGATTTCCAGAAACCGAGGGATTATCACCTCCTATCTTACAACTTAATGATATATCATTTGCATATCCTGGTTGTAATAATGTTTTACAACATGTTAACCTTGGAGCCACCCTAGAATCTAGAATATGTATTGTAAGTTAACTAAAAAACCCGTCAAGATTTGACTGCTGCCCCCTTGGTTAAATTTATTAGTATAATGTTATGCCTATGAAGTAGTTATGGTAGGGAACTTATAATTTTATGAGACTTATGAGAATAGTTCAGGGGTTAACATAGGAAGTTAATACCTAATAATAGTGTATGCATGTGTAACAAATGTGAACAAATCTAATAACCGAATCAGTTAAGTTCTTAATATTGCACTGATTCAAATAAATATTGCACAGATTGCAATAGGTAAGATAAAATGACAAAATATGCAAAACATATCCTGATAAATAATATATATATATATATATTATGTTTTCCATATTATGATTATTTCCAATGTTTGCTTATTATTTATTATTATTATTATTTTTTTGTTCAATTTTAAATCTATTTATGGAGAACTATATAAATGTTTGTAATATTATGAGTTCAAATTTGAAAATGGTTTATTTTGCTTATTATTTAGATAGTTATAAATATAAATACAATACATATTTTTAAGTGCTTATTTCTGGGGTTATGATGAAGGTTTTTAGTGTTTTGTTGTTGATTGTATGTGTTAAAAATCGTTGATTATTACCAAACTTTTTTCTTATACATTTTTGTTTATTAGGTGGGTGACAATGGAGCTGGTAAAACAACACTGTTGAAAATTATTATGGGCTTATTATCTCCTACTGCAGGTTCTAGAAATGTGCATAGGAATTTAAAGTTTGGCTATTTCAGTCAGCACCATGTTGATCAGCTAGAAATGAATCTTTCTTCTGTAGAATTATTACAAACATCTGTCCCAGGTTAGTTGATATTTTTATTAATAATCAGAAAAATAATTTTTTCTAATTCTAAATATACTATGAAAATAATCACTAGGAAAATCCATTGAAGAATATAGACGTCAATTAGGAGGTTTTGGTATATCTGGTGATCTGGCATTGCAGAGTGTTGGTAGTTTGTCTGGAGGTCAGAAATCAAGAGTTGCTTTTGCTAGAATGTGCATGTCTAATCCCAATTTCCTAGTACTTGATGAACCCACTAATCATTTGGACATTGAAACAATCGAAGCTCTTGGCAAAGCCATTCAAAAATACACAGTAAGTGTAGAGTTACTATTATATTGTACTAAGCCCTAAAAAAATTAAAGGGTAGGATGCTGCAGTTTTGAATGAAAATTACATTTTAATTGTTTATTAAATATTATAATTGATAGTTTTAGCCTGTAATCTAATGGTTTACAAATATATGACTCATACTTGCAATAACTTTTAAAATTTCTAATTATAAAGTTAAACTTGTTTTTATTCAAATGTACCCCATACATGGGATGCATTTAAATATGTATCTGTAATGTGTTTAGTACAAATAAAAGGATACATTTAAATGTTTAATTTAAATTAATAACAAATTTATTATTAATTTGTATAATTACTACTGTTCAACCAAGTTTTAAATGTCAATTCTCACAATTGCATTTTACTTTATGTATTCATTAACCAAATTTGAATCTATGTTTAATTGTATTAAAACATTTTTAGGGAGGATTAATACTTGTGTCTCACGACGAACGTTTAATACGAATGGTTTGTAAAGAGTTATGGGTTTGTGGAAGTGGCAATGTTAGAAGTATTGAAGGAGGTTTCAACGAATACAGAGCCATTGTAGAACGTGAACTTGCCGAAGCTGCCAAGTAGAAATAATTTTTTATTTACAATTTTTTTTAAATTTATATATTCATTATTCACTTGTTTTCCTTATTGCCATTAAATAGGATTTTTTACACAAGTATAATAATATGTAATGTACTCTGTTGTCATACAATACTGATTATTATAAGATTTAAACAGAGTACGGTTAAGAATTGTCTGCAATTATTTAATTATTTGTTACCATCTATGATCAATTCCTAAGTATATAAACAAATTACTTTTTATTTTGATTTTTGTCATTATTGTTTAGTGATTAAACTATATACTTGAATAAACCTAAAATTTCTAAACTAACTTCTGAAGTGTTTTGTTTTTTAATTAAATAATTTTATAAGCTATTAATGTGCCATAGATATTTTCAGTTTTTATCTAAAATGGTAAGTGATGTGTAATGCCATTTTTACTTTTCAAGTCAGTCCTAACTTAAGTCAATGAATAGAAAATATTATAAAAAAAAAGAATAATGAATAGATAATTATCAGATAATGAATAATACGTATTTATTGTAATACTCAGTACTAAATCTGATGAGATTGAGAATGAAATATTTGTGTTCAGAAATATTCCTTATTTTAAAAAATATTGTTTATCTTCCTCACTCTTTGTAAATATTTTAAAATTTCATTCAATTTTTACTAAAAATTACAAAATATTCAGTAAAATAGGTAGGTACTTAATCTTTAACACAATTTATTTTATTTTATTGATACCTAGTTGAATATTAAAATCTTTAATGCAGTACCATAAAATATTATTGTAAGTTGTATTTGCTACCATTGATATGAAATAAACTATATAATAAATTAGGTGATTAGTTGAGGGAAAATTGGTTTGTACTTGAAAATCAAAAGTTGTCAGTCGATATGTATTTATTGTGATTTTTTACTTAATTCAACATTCGGTCACACTCCAATGATCTTTGATAACTTTCTTTCTTGAGAATATTTTAAATATCAATATTTAAACAAATATTGTAATGGCAATATTTACTTTTAATATTTATAACTTTATATATGATTATCTGGATTTTAATAGTCATATTAAAAAAAAAAAAAACATTATTATTTTGTAGAAAGGACATTTTAGTTGTTAGTATTCTATAACAAAGTACATCTCTTAAAAAGCTGTTTTAGGTTAATAAGAACGAGTGCAGCTACTGTTATAGGTAATTTAATGTATACCTGTAAGCAACGATAAACCATTGGTAACGAAAAGTGATTCTGAGCAGATTTCAGTTGACAGTGATGCTATGTTAACAATATATAAATATCATATTATGATAAAATAATTAAATAGGTATTATATATTTTCTTTAATAATATTTGTTTAAAGTACCAATTTTCCCATTTTTCCTGGTTTTTCACATTTGCTGGGAAAACTATTGGGAAAATCTAAAAATTACCACTTTTAAGTACCTTCCCTGTCAGATTTCCTTTCAAAAAAAGTGCTGTCATTGTAAATCTGAGAAAAATTGCTAGTAGAAAAGTTGTTCACAGAAAAAAAAAAATAAACATTTTTGTAAAACCATAAGGTACTTTGATTTTATTTTAAAATTCAGGGGTGAGAGAGTACTAGATATAAAAATAACTAAATATTAGTAGGTATTCGTTAACTATTGATTAAGTAAAAAATAGGGGAAACTACTGGAATATTGGGAAATATCGGTGGACGGGTACATGAGCATACTATAGGTCACTCTATAGAGGCACACCTATTATCAAGTAATGCAACTCCATGTGGTCTTAAGAGTAAGTGTACTATAACTAATGAATTGGTATCGTTATAGGAACTTAATCAACCTTCATAAAAATTAAAGGTGTATAGATGCCGAGTATGGACCAAAATGTAAATAATATTACTTAGACAACAGTTTAAAATGTTTTTCTTAAAGAGAGTATATCAGATTATTAGTATATTGCTAAAATAAGTACGTGAACACATTTTACCCAATAAAACACCCTTTTGAAATGATATTAAATGACCTGAATTTTGATTTTATGTTTTTTACTCTTTCTATTCAAATTTGAACTTTTGAAAAAAACTTACACATTACGCTATATTTAATTTCACTACTAAGTAAAATTTATGGAGAAGTATTCATGTAAATAGTTCAAGCATTTCTGCTCGGCCAAAATAATGCGAGTGTCACACATGCGAAACCAAATAAAAACTTAACACCTCGGAAACGCCTATGAATAAATTAAAAATCATGAGAATGTTTTGAAAATTTTCCCACATTTAGAAAGGGCTAATATAAGAATTGTGTATAAAAATCAGATTGTGTATCTGTGATCATGTAAGGAATATCTGCGAAAACGACCCCGTCCAGTGTACCAACTAGGTTCAAAATATCTGGTAAACAAATATTGTTCACTGATACAAAAATAAAAATAATACAACGATAGTATCATTATATTAATTTTATTTGTAATTTGAGAACAAAATATGATATGATTTTGCGGGCCGCATCACAAACGGGTGGGCGCCCGTTCCGCCGTACGTACCCATTTACCACCTACTTTTAGTTAAAGGGAAATAAAATGACCGCTTTAGGAGTGAAAATTAAAGTCTATCGTTGACTAATATTCTAACACCAATATCGAACGTCGTCGTCGTGGTCGGTATTTTCGGTGTAGGTAAACGTTATTATTAAATTGACGTTGGGTAAGGTACCGCAGTCACCGTACGTATTTACTCCGGAACCGCCATCGCCGACAAACTTCATTACGTCGTTCTCGGCAAACAATTATCGCACTTTAAACATTTAATGCAATTGACACAGCTTCCGCCGTAGGTACGTAAATGAAAGGGAAAATAAACACCCGTGAGCCCCGTCACTACAGTCGATTTTGCCCCCGACTGATTCGTCGCCGTTTTTCAATATACATATTTTTTCCTATAGCTGGTTTAAAACAGTTATGGTGGCCAGAGTTGTACGTACGTTCAGGTCTGTAGGGATATTTAAAGCCGTCTGGCATTTTCTGTGCAAATTTAAAATTTGAGCGTACAAATAGTTGGGGACGGGGTTGACAATCGAAGCTACCAAATGGCTACCAAATAGCTACCGACATATCCTCAATACTTATACCATAGATGTATAAAATGTATTCTCTTAACATCATTTTGGAGGGGGAATCTGTAGAGGTGCTCTTTGGTTTATGCGGAGCTGTTAAAAGTGTCCAAAAGTAGGTAAAACCACTACCTACTTTTGATTTTCAAATGGCAACCAATATTAAAAACTCCATAAATAGACGGAGTTTTAGTTAAAATATAAATTTGTTTTAACTAAAGGCTCGCTAATTAGACGTTCAGTTTAAACTACGAAAACTAATTTTTAAATTAAGTAATTAGTAAATTATTTAGGTTTACATACAATTTCTGTGTATCAATTTAGTTTCAAAATCTACCAAAAATCCAATTACATTAAATATATACTTAAATCTATTATGTTTATATAATAGATGTCCGTGTAACAAGGTCTTATATTATACGATAAGACAACACAGATAAAATGCTATTATATAAAGGCTTGCTAAATAAACGTTCAGTTAAAGTAATATAAGGACAATTCTAGTCCAAACGGGATGTGTAAAGGTAATATTTTTTAACCCAAACGGGTCTTCAAAATTGGTCCAAACGGATTGTGTTTCAGGAAAATTGGTCTAAACGGGTCCAGATCGCCTATTTTAATATACCTACACCTGTCCGTCCACTCGTATTAGGTACTTAATAAGCGGAAAAAAGACCGTCGCGTTTTTTTTCAGTATTCACCTATGATGGCCTCGGGCCCCGATTTGGAGCCTCTAAATATCACGGGCCCGTGGCTCATTGCCCGTCATGTCACCCAATCGATATGCCACTGTTTTAAGTAGGTATAAATAATATGAATATATGATGAACTCCGTGTAAAATTGGCATTTCTTCTCGGCCGAAACAATTATATTCATATACAAAAACTAAACAAACTTAAAAATATCGAATGCTTATAAATTGTTCAAAAATCGTCAGAAAGTTTTGAATATTTTATCTCGTCTAAAAATGGCTAATATAAGTATTCTGTGAAAATTTCAGGTCTCTACGATTGTTTTTAAAAATCTATGCTTATACAATAAAAAAAAAACCAAAAAAAAAAAATGAAACTAGTTTTTTTCTATTATTAGGAGAACTGAAGGAAAATTCAAAAAATATCCAAAACACAAACTAGTAAAGTTATAAAATCCTTTCAGAAAAGTTACTATACTTGAAAATCGGAAAAAACACATCATAGTAAAACGTATTGATTGCTAAAAAGTGGTTTTTAAAATATTTGTGTAGACTTTGGATGTTAGTTTAAGTTCTTTTTTTCTGGCGGGAAGAGATTTAAAATATTAAATCTCTTCCCCTTTAATTAATTTCATCAACCCTCTCGAAGTTCAATTATTATCTCTATTGTTTGTAGGAAATAGCATAGAAAATTTATTTTTAGACTCGCGCAAATATTCACGAGGTAAATGTAAAAAAAAAAAAACAGGATTTTAAGGTAGAAACCATTTTTTTGAAATACCGGCATTGGGGCATGACATAGATGTACGAAGTTTAGTATGGCCTGACTTTGAGATAAGTAAACTATTACAAACCCATGTTTCTCAATAGTCACACAATTATTCCTTGTCAAACTTGTTTTTAAATTTGTTTTATTATTATTAAATGTAGGACAAAATACAAGAAATATTGATAAGAGATCATCTTATAGTATCATAATAGTAATTACTACGTAATATAAAGTCTTATGTAGTTATGTATACTTACCTACATAAATCGTAGGATTTACCTGTCGACTGTCGTGTGCTACGTCTCAGTGATTAAATCGAATGAATGACGTGAATGATGTTCATTCTGGTAGCCGGCGACTAAATGAATGTAAAAGTTCATGTCGGCCATTTCCGTCTCTACGTTTTTTTTTAGAAACGAAGAATGGAGGAATGTATTGGTTTTACAATAATGTTTATTATTATTATTTTTTATACTGTACGAAAATTCTACCAGAAATCTTGCTCCGATTTTCAAGTGTAGCAACTTTTCTGAAAGAAAATTTTTCTAGGGTAATATTGGGATAATTATTGATTTCACAAGCCATTCTTCATAATAGTCAAGAAAAATCGGGGAAAAACGTAGGAAAAACGAGAATATTTACGAAAATAATTCTTTTATTATTTTCAATTTTGTTTCTTTGTTGTAATTCAGTTAAAAATATTGGTAAACTTGAAATTTTTATAGAAAACTCATATTTACTTTTTATATAAGTAGTATAA